CTGGTCCCGTGCACAGCTGTTCCCTTAGTGCCTAGAAGGGTGCTTGGCTCAAATAATGTTGGTGGAAAAAAAAAATGACAGTTCAATTCTCTCTTTTTTTAATTAATTAATTTTGTATTGTGGCAAACCCCAAAATTTACCATCTTAACCATTTTTGAGTACGCAGTTCAGTAGTGTCAAGTATATTTACATTGTTGTGAAACAGATCTCCGGAGCTCTTTCATCTTGCGGAAGAGAAACTCTATACTCATGAAGAAACAGCTCCCCTTTTACCCTCCCCCTAGGCCCTGGTGGCCCCATTCCATTTTTCGTTTCTATGAATTTGACTATAGATACCTCACATAAGTGGAATCATGGAATCGTACGGTATTGTCCTTTTGTGACTCAATCCTCTTCCAATTTTTGTTTTCATACAGACACACATCTAAGTGTGAGGCGTCCCGTAGGTGTGTTATTGATGACTGTGCAGCCTTTGGACAGACATTGGACTTTGCCCATTCACGTTCTTTCACATGCAAATTCCCACATCCTTTTCTCTTGGAACTATACAATATCTGTCATAACAAGTTTGTTTAGCTCTCCACCTCTGGGCATTTTGGACGACTATCAGTTTTTCAAAACCATAAACAGTGGTGCTCTGTGCATCTTTGTACATTACTTTTTATCTGGATAATTTCCTCTTGGTGAATTTGCCCAGGGCAGAATACCAGGTCAAGTTTTGTAGTCCTGCTACAGCCAGACTTCAATCCAGAGAGAATGAATCAACTGGTGGTTCCACCAATTCGATGGAAATGTATTTATTTCCCCCACAGCCCCGTCAACTTCGAGTTTTGTCAATTGAATTAATTTTTGTTAAGTTTCTGGAAGACAGAGTATGTTCTCTGATTGTGTAGGGGCGTCACTAACTAAAAAATAAAGGCATACCTGGTTTCCTGTCATTTATGTGAACAAAAATCTGAAGTTTTTAAGTGGACTCTCTGTTAACGACGATCATGGTATGATATTGTTGTTGAAAAATCCAAACAAATCTTGTAATTCTGTGATGCTCTAGTACTGGGTAAGAAAAGTGTGCAGGCCAAGGAGATACCATCCCACTGATCTCTACAAGGGTCAGATCATACAAGAAAATGCCCTCCCTTTCTACCACTCTCTCACCTGTTAAAACTCCCTATCAGCTCCGGGTCCCAAGGCTTAGGTCTTTTGTTTCTCTCGTCAGTGAGTCTAGCCAGCGGTTTCTCTTACCACTTGCACATTAGCCTTATATGGGGAGGTTTAAAAAATATAGATTCCCACACTCCACCCCAAGGATTCCGATTTGTTTGCTTTGCAATGGGGCCTGGTTAGATGTATTTTTAAAAATCTTCTGCAGTGATGCTAACGTGCAGCCGGGGTTTCCAGCCACAGTGCTCACCCCATTAGTGCTCAATAAATGATTGTTGAATGACTCAATGATTGAATACGACTTGTGCCAGGAAGCTGGTGAGGGCAGTCAGGAACTTCTATTCTGTAGAAGTAAGTGGCATTAACCACAAGGACACTATGTTCACAGCCCTCTCTGTCTGCCACCTGAGATGGATTTTTGAAGTCATATTTCTTTTTTATTGAAATATAACTCACATAATGTAAAATTCACCCTTTTAAAATGTACAGTTCAGTGGTTTTTAGAATACTCACAAGTTGTGCAATTATTACCGCTAACTAATTTAGAATGTCTTTATCACCCCCCAAAATCCTGCACCCAAGAGAAGTCACTCCTCATTTTCCTCTCACCCGAGCCCCTGGCAACCCCTCATTGACTTACTGTCCCTATGGATTTGCTTATTCTGGACATTTCATAGAAATGGAATCATACAGTGGCTGGCTTCTTTCACTTCACACGATGTTTTCAAGGTTCATCCACGTTGCAGCAAGCGTAGGAGCTTCATTCATTTTCATGGCTGAACTTGGTTTATCCGTTCATCAGTTGACGGACATTTGGCTAGTTTCCGGTTGTTGACTATTAATGATGCTGTAATGAACATTCACGTCTAAGTTTTTGTATGAACATACGTTTTCAGTTCTCTTGGGTATGTATCTAGGAGAAGAATTGCTGGGTCCTATGATAACCCTATATTTAACTTTTTTGAGGAACTGCCAAACTATTTTCCATAGTGGCTGCACCATTTTACCATCCCATCAGTAATGCACGAGGGTTCCAATTTCTCTGTATCCGCATTGACATTTCTTATTACCTTTTTGATTTTAGCCATCCTAGCAGGTGTGTGAAATAGCATCCCATGTGGTTTTGATTTTGATTGTCCTGATGACTAATGTTGACCATCTTCTCACGTGCTTATTGGCCATTTGTGTATCTTCTTTGGACAAATATCTATTCAAATTCTTTGCCCACTTTAAAACTGAGTTGTCCTTCTGTTGTTATGAGCCATTTATATATTCTAGATATTAGATCCTTATCTAATACTTACAAATATTTCCTCCCATTTTGTGGGTTGTCTTTTCACCTTTTTGATAGTGTCCTTTGAAAAGTTTAAAATTTTGATGCAGTTCAATTGGTCTATTTTTTCCTTTGGTTGCCTGTGTCTTAGGTGTCATATCTCAGAAACTATTGCCTGGTCCAAGGCCGTGAAGATTTATGTCTATTTTCCCCTAAGAGCTTTATAGTTTTAGCTCTTACATTTAGGTACTTGATCTATTTTGAGTTAATTTTTGTATAAAGTGTGATGCGGGAGTCCACTTTTATTCTTTTGTGGCTATTCTGAAAGTCCAGCACAGTTTGTTGAAAAGACTATTCTTTCTCCATCGAATTGTCTGGGCACTCTTGTTGAAAATCAATTGACCATAGATGCATGGGATTTATTTCTGGACCCTCAATTCTATTCCATGGATCTCTATGTCTAGCCTTATGCTAGTCCCACACAGTCTTGATTACTGTAGCTTTGTAGTAAGTTTTGAAATTGGAAAGTACATCTTCCAATTTTGTTCTTTTTTTCCCCCCAAAGATTGTTCTGACTATTTTGGGTCCCTTACATTTATATGAATCCTAGGATCAGCTTGTCAATTTCTGCAAAAATGACAGCTGTCTTTTTGACAAGGATTGTGTTGAACTTGTATATCAATTTGGGGAGTATTGCCATCTTAACAATATAAGTCTTTCGATCCATGAACAAGATATCTTTCCATTTATTTAGGTCTTCCTTACTTTCTATGTTTTATAGTGTTCCGTTTACAAGTCTTGCACTGCTTTGGTTAAATTTATTCTTAAGTATTTTATTTTTTGATGTGACTGTAAATGGAGTTGTTTATTTAATTACATTTTTGTATTCATTTCTAGTGTAAGAAACGCAAGTGATTTTTGTATATTGATCTTTTATCCTGCAACCTTGCTGAACTTGTTTATTAGCTTTAGTAGATTTTCTGTGTGTGTGGATTCTTTAGGGTTTTCTATACACAGTATAAGATTGTATCATCTGCGAATAGAGATACAGATAATGTTACTTCTTCCTTTTCAACTTGGATGTCTTTATTTCTTGCCTGATTGTCCTGGCTAGGCCCTCCACTGCCGTGTGGAATAGAAGGGGTGAGAGCTGACATCCTTGTCTCGTTCCTGATCTTAGGGGAAACATGCAGTCTTTCACCACTAAGTATGATGTTAGCTGTGGGTTTTTCATAGACAGTCCTTATCGGGTGATGAGGCTCCCTTTTACTCCTAGTTTGTTGATGGTTTTATCATGAAGGGGTGTTGGGTTTTATCAAGTGATTTTTCTGTGACTATCGAGTTAATCATACGTGGTTTTTTCCTTCTGAACAGTTTTAAGAAGGGCCTCCTGCCAGTAGTAAATTGGTCCCAACGAGGTCTCAAAATAGCTCGTAGGGGAGATGACTGGCTGTTCTTTTTTTTGGCTAGTCTGATTGGAACACTATTATTAAAATTATTTACTTGTAGGGCCGGCCTAGTGGCGCAGTGGTTAAGTTCCCAGGTTCTGCTTTGGCCACCCGGGGTTAGCCGGTTTGGACCCTGGTTGCGGACCTATGCACCCCTTGATAAGTCATGCTGCGGCAGGCGTCCAACATATAAAGTAGAGGAAGATGGGCACGGATGTTAGCTCAGGGCCAGTCTTCCTCAGCAAAAAAGAGGAGGATTGGTGGCAGATGTCAGCTCAGGGCTAATCTTCCCCCCCCCAAAAAAGTTATTTACTTGTAAATAGGTAATACTTGCACACGATAAAAAAGAATCATTTAGTAAAAAGTCAGCTGTGACAAGTGAATCTCGTTCCCCTTAGGCAACCACTATGCTTATCCCTTGGATATCATCCATCTGTAGCGCTTTTTTTCTACACGGGCCCAGCGGGAGAGTTGGCACAGAGCTGTTATAGCCTGCAAATTCTAAAATACTTCCTCTCTGGCCCTTCACAGAAAAAGTGTGCTGATTCCTTTTTCAAGTCTCTTACCATTTCAAAGGATGCTGCTATGCCATCTTGGCACACGTCATTTTACACAGGTGAGTTGCTGTAGAATGACTTGTATAAGTGGAACTGCTAGGTCTCATCGTCTCGGCATTTGTCATTCTGATAGGTACTGCCAAGTAGCACGGCGAAGTTGAGCCAATTCACACTTCCTCCAACAAGGCAGGCTAGGGCCTGTTCCCCACAGCCTGGCGCTAACCGTGCGCTAATAATTTCATGCTTGCCAATCTCATAAGTGAAACATGGCACTCATTGTACTTTTAATTTGCATTTTCCTTATGAATAAGGTCGAGCATCTTTTCTTAAGGCTAAAATTAAACAACAAGAAACCAACTCCTTCTGCGCCCTTTCCTGCCCAGGCGAACCAGGACTCTGGGCCTGGTCGCCGGCACCACACAGGATGCGGGGCGTGGCCGGGGCGGAGGCGGGGGCTGCGGACCCCTTGGTCCCCCTTCCCTCCCGGGCCGCGGAGCCCCGCCCCGAGCCCGCCTCCGATCGGCCTGGGCGGAGCCGGCGGCCCGGTGGGCGGGGCGGCGCCGCCCGATTTATCCGCGTCCGGGCGGCGGAGGGCGAGCCCGCGTGTCCCTGCCGAGCCCCGCGCCGGTCCCTCCGCAGCATGTCCGGCCCCCGCCTGCTGGCCGCGCTCTGCGGCGCGCTCCTGGGCGCCTCGGGCCTCTTCGCCGCCTCGGGTGAGTGCACCGCCCGCGCCCGCGCCCGCGCCCTCCTCCCCGCGCGCGCTCGATGTCCGCCGCGCGCCTCCCTCCACCTCTGCTGTTTACAAACTTGGGCGAAGCGCCGGGGCCGTGCGGAGGGGCGACCTCCCCGACCCGGGGCGGGGATGCGCGCGGCCTCCGCTGCTGTCTCCGCGCCTGGGGCTCTTAGCCGGTCCTACGGACTGGAGCGTTTGGGCGGCGACTCGGGACACCGGTGACAGCCCCGCCGCCCCCCCAGGAATGGGGCTTACGCATAACAAAGGAATCCGCTGTGTCGGGCCTCTCTTTGCCCATCTGTAAAATGAGGCCATTGAAGTGCGTGCCTCGCGCGCGCCTTCCACCTAGAAGTTTCTGGGACTCTTGTATTGATGAGGGTTCTGCAGCAAACTTTGTCTGGCAAGTCCCTCCCCAGCCCTGGCGGCCGGTCGGTTCATTGGAGTTTTGCGCCCCTGCTTGTAGATGTTCCGGCAGCTAAGCCGGGGTTGGGGGTGGGGACACGGATGGACGGACTGGGGGCTGGGGAGTCGGAATGGATGGGGCTCTAGGTGGGGCCCAGGAGGGGCATAGAGTCTAGGGAGGGGCTTAGAAAAAGGGCTGCTTCTTGCGGTGGCGGCTCCGACTCCCCCCCGCGGCCTTGGCCTGCTGCTGTATCTTCCTTGGTCCTCCTCCCCCGGCTAAGAGGCCTCCGCCCTCCAGCAGGCGGTCATGGGGACGCCCGTCCCCTGCGCCGGGGGCCACGCAGTCCCCTCCAGGGCTGGGAAAAGGATGCCCCCTGTCTGTGTGTGTAGGGGGGGGATATCAAGGACTCTCCAGGCGCCCCTTCCATCCTTGTCTGGTAGAAATAGGATTGACTGGAGCAAGGGGAGGGGTCCCAGCTGAGCCCTGGCTCTGCCATCCGGTGACAGCCTGACCCCCAGGCCTGCAGCGGAAGCCTTAAGGGCACTCCAGGCTTCCACGCTCTTGGGAGCTGGTGGCTCTCCCCAGCGACCCTGAGAGACGGCTGGGTCTCTGATGTCCCTTTCCACTCCTCTCTGTCCCCACAGCTGCGCTCTGGCACAGCACCCCTGGGGAGATCCCCCAGAGGGCAGGACCTGACATCCGGCAGGTGGTTTAGCTCAGGTTGATCTGGCTCCTCCTGGAAGAGGGAAGCACCTCGGCTGCTGTGCGCAGGTGTGTCAGTGCAAGACCTGCCTGGTGGGAGGCGCCTCTCACTTTCCCTTTTTCCCACTGGACGGCGTTGCCCCGGAGCATACAGGGAGGGACCGCTTTGCCCCGGAGCCATATAGGGAGGGGACGCGGTTGGGACTGGAAAGAAGAGGAGCTGGATCTTGTTGGGACCGGAGCCCAGGACTCTGGCCATCCCCAAGCCTCTGTCGGTGGTGCTGCCCGCCGCCTGCCAGGTCAGGGGAGGGGATTAACCTGCTATTTAAAGCCAGTGACTAATAGCTTGTCGGGAGCGGCCTTGAGCTCCTGAGGCCGGCCCCCAGATGGAACTCTGAGGGCTGCATCGCTCGTTAACGGTGTCCCCTTCCGTGGAGCCCTGGCCCTGCTCTCGGGGGCTTTGGGATTTCAGGGGGACCCTCCAGCCTGGGATGGTGTGACTCTGCGAGGAGGGAAAAAGATATCTCACGTCTTACCCCCCATGTTGGGGTGGGGCGTGGGATCTGGGGCAGCCCTTCTGGGATGCTAAGGTGGGCTGGAAGACCCTCCCTCTGCAGGCCTGCTTGACGTAGTGGGCAGCACTTTGCCAGAGTCAAGGGACTGGGGACAGGTTAATATGCACATCCGGCACCCAGGCCCCCAGCCAGAAGCTGTGAGGGCCTCTCTGGTGCTCCTCCCACCTCTGTCGTCTTGGTCCATGTTTCTCCAATCCTCCCTTCCTCCTCACCCCTTTGCCTGACTCCCTTGCAGCGGGAGGCCTGTGACAGCCTCCTGATGCTCTGCTCGTCTCCTGCCTCACGCGTTGCAGTCACGTTTCCATCCGGTGGCAGAGGGATCTTCCTGGAGCTACAGACACTGCCCCCCGCCCCTCCCCAGGGGGAGTCCGGCCATCTCTGCAGGGGGCCTTGAGACTGATAATTTTTTCCTAGTGGACAGTGGTGGAGAGGCTGAGGAGGGTTAAGAGTCCCTGGTCTGCAGAAGGAAAGTCTGAACTTGTCCTTCTTAAGGTCCCTCCCAGCTGGCCCCAGCCTACCTTTTCAGCCTTGTCTGTGTTCTCCAGTGTACCATGTCCCCATGCTCCTGCCTTTCTTTGCAATGTTCTTTCCTCATTCCCCAGCCTGGCACACTCCCACTCTGTCTTTTGGATCCAGCGCACATGTCCCCTCCTCTGGGAGACCTCCATCTCCCTGGTGGAAGCCGTACCTCCAGTGGCCCCTCGGGCGGGCCTCTGTTACCGCTTATGGGCGCCTCTCCCTCACTGGGGGACTTGTCCGCCTCTTTCCCGTGGCTTCTGGGGGTCTGGCCTGCGCCTGGTTTCTCTGTCTTGGGCCCAGCCCACGCACGGTAGTTGGCTCTCCAAACATTTACCAAGTGAATGACTAGTTCCTGAGTCAGAGCTGCCATTGCAGGTGACTTCTGTGACTCCAGCCAGTGCCTCAATGGTGGGACCTGCTTGCTGGGCCAGGACGACCTCCCCTTCTACTGTCTCTGCCCTGAAGGCTTCACTGGCCTCATTTGCAACGAGACTGAGAAAGGTACCCGTCCTGGGCCGTGCCTGCCGTCCCACGCCAGGCTGCTGCGCTGAGCTCAAAGGGGACAGTGGGCCCCAGCACCTCGCCCATTGTCAGCCAGCAGTTCCCTGGGCGCTCCCAGGCCGTTTGGGAAGCTGGGTGCCTCCTGCATTTGCGCTAGTTCCCCTGTGACCCTCCTTGGCGCCTGGTGGGTCCCAGCACCATCAGGCAGGTTGCAGGAAGGTGGAGGTGACTGGAGGGGGCGGGCAGTGGGCTGAGTTTGTGAGTTGGGGTCGAGGGTCCCGTCTGCCGCTGCCTGTCTCTGTCCCCAGCTCCTTCCTGATCACCTGCCCATCTTAACCTGCTTCCCACTCCCCAGGTCCCTGTTTCCCAAACCCCTGTCAAAACGATGGCGAATGCCACGTGATCGACGACTCGCACCGCGGGGACGTGTTCACCCAGTACATCTGCAGCTGCCCTCGCGGCTACACGGGCACCCACTGTGAGACCAGTGAGTATCCGGGGGCGTCTGCTCTGGGGGCAGAGCTGGAGCCGCAGTGCTGGCCGCCCAGGGCACGTGCTGGCCGTGTTCCCTGTGTCAAGGCTGCCTCTGGGTAGACTGAGGAGGGGACAGAGCCTCGGTTAGGCCACGGGGCCGGGGAGGAAGGGGGCCTGTTGTCCGTCCCCTAGCTTTTCCTGCCTGGCCCTCTCTCCTGGGACTGGAGGGGAGGGAGGGGCGGTGGGGCCCCGGGGGTCATGGGAGTACTGTTTCCTGGGTCATCATGAACCAAACACACAGCATTAGGGTTAAGTCTTGAGACTTTTCTGCCAAGAGGGGAGAAGAAACACCTGCTTGATCTTTTAGAGCCAAGGAGGTCAGTAAATAAGGCTTGGGCCTCAGGGTCTGACAGTTCGTGGCCCATGTTTGACCTGTGGCCTCCTCACAGAGCCCAGGGAGGAGGGGGAGGCCTGGGCAGCTTGGGCCGTCCCCTCCCGGTCAGGAGGTCGGAGGCCCAGCGTGTGCAGAGGGGCTGACCCGCCTGGCCTGCTGGGTTATCCCCGCGGCCCCAGAATGGCCCTGGGTGGGTGCCCAGCCGATGGAGCCAGCAGCGGCACTTCACGCTGACTGCCCTCCTGGTCCAGCTGGAGTCCCTCCCAGCAAACAGGGACTCCTCCTCAAGCTCTGTGGGGGGTGAGTCCACATCTGAGGCCCCGGGGTGGGTGTGTGGGGGTCCAGGTTTCTGCAGTCCAGGGGGTCTGTCACTGAGCATCTCGGGCAGGAGGCAGGTCGTTCTCCTTCCGGCAGAGGTGGGGCTTCTCTCTGAGGTTTGCTGACCTATAGAAGGAGCAGCGAGGGCTGGCCGCCTGGGTGGGAGCTGGGCCCTCGGGGAGAGCAGCTAAAATGCCTGCAATGCCAGTGCCCTTTGCCTCAGAGGAGCCAGCACTGCAGGCCGGGGCCCTGGGCTCTGGCCTGAGGCCCATGTGTTTGAGATCCTGGGTGGAGGAGTGTGTGTGTGTCGAGGGGGAGGGGGTTGCCAAGGCAGATGGAGCCCTGGGTGGGGCCACTAATTATGTGCTGGGGGCCCAGGTAATTATGGGCGTGCCTGAGTTGGAATTACCCACCTGGCCTCCTTCTGCTCCTCAGCCTGGGGTCTGCCCCTGGCTAGACAAGGCAGCATCTGGGGCAGAGGGCAAGTTGGGGAGCCCCCCAGAGGGACCTTTGCAGTGCCTCCTTATTTGTTATGTGTGTGTTTCCTTGGAGCCCACAAGGACCCCACAGGCCCAAAGAGTGCACGTTTGGGTCCCTGAGGGTATGGCCATGGTGGGTGTGAGGACTTGGAGACCTGGGTTCAGATCGCTGCCCAGCGCTGGCCGGCTCTCCTCATGGGCATGTGGCCTCACTCCTTGCGAGGGTGTCAGAGCACCGAGCTCAGCATGAGCCTGGGGTGTTGGAGCAACAGCAGATCCATCCTGGGTTCTGTGTTTGGGACCGAGGCCCAGGCACCCAGCATGGGGACCCCTGGGGAGGAGAGAGGCTGGGCCCCATGACCACATCCTGGGGTGAAGGTGAAGGTGACGGGACCTTGGCAGGGGCAGCTTCCCAGGTGCCTGGGTCAGGACCAGCAGTTGGAAGGGGCAGGGGGTGCAAGAGAAAACAGAATGGCATTCACGCCTCACCCAGAAAACGCCTGCCAGTGGGATTCTAGGAAACGCCAGGGAGATTTCTTACTGCTTTTTCTGCAGTGCACATCCTGCTCACTGCCGTCCGAGGGGCCCCTTCTCTCAAAGCCCCCCTCTGGGGGAAGCCAGGGGCTGGGCTGGACGTGGCGGTCCTCCTGGTGGGGCAGGGAGCCTGAGGAGGAGGGGGCCACACTGCTGTTCTCTCCCGCTAGTCCCCACCCCCAGAGTGATTGCTGCTCGCTGCCCTGTAAAACCAGACCACCTACCTCACGCAGCCTGGCGGGAGACTCCAGCTGCCAGTCACGGCCGGGCCACCAGTGCCGGCCTGGCCTGGGATCCCCCCGGCAGCCCCCGGTCCCCGCCTCGCTGACTCTGCCCAGCTGCTCTCTTCCTCACCATGCTCCTTTGCTTGGTACCTCCTCTTGGGCCCTCCTTGTCCCGTTGAGGTCTCTGCGCTGGGTCCTCAGCAGAGGTCACACTGTCGTGTGCTCTCGTCCTCTGGCTCCCACCTGCCCGGGCTGCCAGCCGACTGCCATGTCCCTCCCTGCAGCCTGCGCCATGCCGCTGGGCATGGAGACGGGCGCCATCGCCGACGCGCAGATCTCCGCCTCGTCCGTGTACTTCGGCTTCATGGGGCTGCAGCGCTGGGTCCCGGAGCTGGCCCGCCTGCACCGCACGGGCATCGTCAACGCTTGGACGGCCAGCAACTATGACAAGAACCCCTGGATCCAGGTGTGGAAGGGACGGCCCTGGGGCGGACGGCGTGATGGGGGGCAGAGGGTGAGATGAGGGTGTCTGCGTTGGGGGGTCTGCGTATGTCCCTGCTGCGTTGGGACAGCGGGGGTCATAACAAGGTCCAGGTGGCAGGGAGCAGGTACCCATGGGTAAAGTATCTGTAAGTGGGGGGCAGTCTTCGGGGGCCTGGGGTAGGTGGGTAGGATGAGGGGGGCAGACCCCAGGCTAGGGAGGGGCTGTTGGCACTGGATGTGGGCCCTGGGGCCTCGTCCCTCCCATGTGCTGGGTCTGGAGCCTGAGAGGGCCAGTGAGAAAACCCACTCCTTTGTTCCCCGTCTCGGGGGGAGTGGTGGGACAGAAAGCATCCGGAGGTAAGGGTCTTGTCCTCCTTGTCCTGGTCCAGGTGAACCTCATGCGGAAGATGCGAGTGACAGGCGTGGTGACGCAGGGTGCCAGCCGCGGGGGCACTGCTGAGTACCTGAAGACTTTCAAGGTGGCCTACAGCGTCGATGGGCGCAAGTTCCAGTTCATCCGGGATGCAGGGGACTCAAAAGACAAGGTGAGGCTTGTTGGGGCCCTAAAGAAGGGCTGTGGTCAGCACCCCTTGGGGCTCCAGCGCTGTTGGAGGGCTCCCAGTGAGAGGAGAGTACCCAGTGAGGGGAGAGTACCCAGTGAGGGGAGAGCACCCAGTGAGGGGAGAGCGCCCAGTGAGGGGAGAGCGCCCAGTGAGCGGAGAGCGCCCAGTGAGGGGAGAGCGCCCAGTGAGGGGAGAGCGCCCAGTGAGGGGAGAGCACCCAGTGAGGGGAGAGTACCCAGTGAGCGGAGAGTGCCCAGTGAGGGGAGAGTACCCAGTGAGGGGAGAGCACCCTGGGTGATGGGCCATGAAGAGGATCTTCACGTGCATCTTGGTTCCCAGAAGTTAGGAAACCCAGATCGTGCCCGTGTTCTGTGCTTACGAGGAACAGTCTCACTTTATAGATGAGAACAACGAGACTCAAAAAGGTTCAGTGACCTGTGGGGGGTGGCTGTCGTGCTGGAGCTCGGATGCATTTTGAGCCTTCGTGGCTACTATGTACGGTTGTGCAGGTTGTATATTGCTCAAGGATGTCATTACTAAGTGAGCACCATTCACACTATAGACATTCTATGTTTGTGTACTTCTGTCTGTGGGAAAGTTGTTATAATAAAGTGTCCTGAGAAAGGAGTGTCTTTTCCTAACTTCCACAGAGGCACCCTATAGATTATAGGTGGTCCTGTGTGAAAGGCAGGGGGTTTGTGCCCCAGCCCCGTGATGACCAAGGAAGGTGTGAGGAGGGGAACCTGTGTGGAGGGCCATGGGGTGGCCAGAGCAGAGCTGAGCCTCTGCTGAGGAGGCTCAGCAGAGGAGGACGGCAAGGCAGCCCCAGGAGGGGGCACAGCCTGCACTGCCTCACTCCTCCAGCCTGCCTCTTCCCTCCTAGGTGTTTGTGGGAAATGTGGACAACAGCGGTCTGAAGGTCAACATGTTTGACGTCCCTCTGGAGGTGCAGTACGTGAGGCTGGTGCCCGTTGCCTGCCATCACGGCTGCACCCTGCGCTTCGAGCTCCTGGGCTGTGAGGTGAATGGTGAGTGCTGGGGCAGGGTCGGTCCTGGGCGGGGTGGGTGGCCTTCCCTGCCCCGCTTCTCAGAGCTGAGCTGGGGGGGTGCGCATGAGGCGGGTCACCCGGCCACACGGTCCTGCCCGGTGTCCCTGTCTGCCACCCATGGCATTCTGGTCGGTAGAGAAAAAGATGCTGCTTCCGTTTTCACAGTATTTTCACGCTTCTGAGTGGTTCCCTGAGCTTCTGGAATGCGTTTGTGCTGTTGCATAGCCCTCGGCCCTGAGGCAGGAGCTCGTCTGTTTTGTTCACTGCTGTGTGGCCAGTGCCTGGCTCGTAGGTGCTCTGTGCGTATACTTGGAGTGAATGAATGAAGAATCGATGAATGAGAGAAGGGAGGCCCAGATGAATGAGTGATCAGGGGCATACAGCTGGCAAGTGTGAAACTTTGATCTGGATCCCTGGGCTTCTGACGCCCCCCCCAGCCAGTGCTTTCCCCCCCGAACCTCCTGTGGTCTGCATTCAGGAGAAATAGGGCTGGATCTGGGGCTTCCTGCTACCCTTTCCAGAGAATTCCAGATAGAGGGATGGGGGGACAGAGAGGCACAGTGTCTGCAGAGCCAGAAAACACTCAGCGTTGGAGAGGTCGGGGTGCAGGGGCTGGACTGACCGTGTGGCTCAGCGGGCTGGCGCTCTGAGGTCTGGGTGTCCCTCTCTTTGCAGCCATGGCACCCCCTGCTGGCCCACGGTGGGACTGCAGAGCGCAGGAGGAGCCGCTCGTCCTTTCTAGTCCTTCCCAAGACCCGCCCACCATGTGGCGCCTCCTCCTGTCATCCCCTTTCAGACGTGCCCGGTACCCCTCTGAGCTGAGTTCTGTGGCTGGCTTCGCTTAGTCTTTTTCTAAGTGTGGACTTAAGTCGGCGTGTCCAGCTCGGGGGCTCACTGCCTTCTGAGCCTGATGGTTTAGTGGGGAGTGAAGGTCAGGTGATCGGTGAAGGACAGACGGGTCTGGGCGCCCCAGCCTGGCTCCTCTCCCCCGAGAATCTGGGTCTGAACCTGTGGCTGTTCCAGTTGCCACGTGGCCTGTCGTGGCTGGCTCCCTCGGAGGCCACCAGAGGGCGAGCCTGCCAGCCGAGGGGTGAGGCGGCCTGGCTGTGGCCGCAGGTCTGGACCCGCCCCTTTCCTAGCAGCCCTCCCTCTCTTCGCAGGCAGGGGTGGTGTCCTTGGTGAGTCCATCAGTTATTTAACTCAGTGGACATTTATTAAGATATTTATCAAGCTCCTCTGAGCACCTGGCTCCAGGGAGCAATACCGGTGAGATCCCTGACCTCGTGGAACTTGAATTCTAGTGAGGGAGGCTGATGCCAGACGAAGAGCAAAGAAAAGAAAAACTAGAGGGTGATGCCGGGAGGGCGACTTCGGGGGCGGGGAGGGGAGGGGACGGCACAGGGACTGCCCTGCTGGGATGGCCTTTGAGTGGAGGCTGGAATGATGGAGAGCAAGCCACACGAAGAACTGGGGAAGAGCATTCCAGGCGAGGAGTTGGCGAGTGCAGAGACCCTGGGTTGTGTCGAGGGGATGGAAGGCAGGCCAGTGGAGCTGGAGCCTAGAGAGTGAGGGCAGCTGGTGAGTGATGAGGCCAGAGAGGAGGATGGAGCAGACCGGCCAGGGCAGTGTGGACCATTTGAGGCTTCAGGTCTTTACCTCAGATAAAGCTTGCCCATGGGATGTGATTAGAGTTGTGTCTGGGCGAGAGCCCTCAGGCTGTGTGGGTTATGGGGCAGAGGGCCGCTGTGCAGAGGGGACTCCTGCGGGAACCCGGGTGCTTGGATCAGGAAGGTGGAGTCAGTGGGTTAGAGCGCTCAGCTCTCAGTGGGCTCCGTGGGCCAGCAGCGTGAGCATCACCGGAGCTTGTAGAGTGTAGACTCCGGCCCCACCCTAGACCGCTGAGACAGAATCCACATTTTAACGAGACCCCAGGGGATCTGTGAGAAGCACTGCTGTATATCTCATTTTATGGATGGGGCCTGGAGAGGGAAGGGACTCCTAGGGTCACATAGTGAGTGCTGGAGCCGCGAGCCCTGGGCTTGGCGCCCTCCCAGCTGCATCTCCCCAGGAAGGCTGTCCGACTGCCTGGGGAGGCCCGAAAGTGAGGGGCATGGACTGCTGGAAGCAGATGATCTAGGAGAGGCCTCCTTGAGCGGATGATGCGACTTGGCGTCCTCTTTGAAGCTGCCCCAGGCCTTAGCTGGCATCGGGACGAGCCACCTCCCAGCCCAGTGGGTTCCCTGTGTGTCGGGGCGGGGGGGTTTCCTGGTGCACCGCCCTCATGGAGATGGTACAATTGGCATCTTTATGCTTGCCAGGCACATGTCTGTAGTGGGGAGGGTGCATGCATCTGGGGCGACAGTGACGTGAAGCTGCGGGGTAGAGGCATGGCTTTCTAGCCCCCCCACCCCCAAGTCCCCAAAGGGACAGAGTTGTGGAGCGGGGATTCTGCAGGTGGGAGACACGCCCCACTCTCTTGAGAGTTTTCTCTTCTCCTGCCCAGCCCTGACTGTCCTCGCCACCTGCACGTGCAGGTGACTAGTGCAGAGCGGCTGGCACATTCCTGAGGGCGGAGCAGACCTGACGGCACCCCCAGGGCTCAGTGTGGAGTGCGTGAAGGCGTCTGGGAGACACTGAGGGACGGGCTGCTGGAGAGGGTGCAGGATGCCCCCTGAGCCCCAGGAGTCCCGACTTCCCTGACCTCCACCTGCTGGAGGACGAGAATGTTGTCCGTCCTTCTCCAGGTCCCCACTGGGCGGGACTTCGGCTCTGGGTGGGTGCGTGGTGGTGGAGATGATGTCACCGTGTGCTGCCGTGGGTAGGAGTTCATGTGTGTCACTCTCAGCCTCAGTTTTCTCTCTGTGGAATGGTGACTCACTTCCTCTTTGTTCGGGTTTTTGCGGGTAGATTAAATGCCTGATGTAAGCACTGAATCCCTGAGATGGTTGTTATTAATGTTGCTGATGACAATCCCAGGACTCAGCGTGCGGGTCGCAGCTGTACCACAGGAGTGACAGAGGAAGTGCTGGGAGTCCAGAGGAGGGACGAGTCCCGCCTGAGTTGGGTGGTCAGGGCACCCTTCCTGGAGGAGGTGTCTCAGGAGTCAGGCTGTGAAGGCAGGTGGGAGGTGGTGGATCAGGGCCTGCCCTGTGCTGGGGTGGGGGGTTGGGGGAATGAACTCTGAAGGACAAGTCAGGATCGGGGTGGGCGCTGAGAGCAGCTGGCTGAGGTGAGGAGTGCGGGGGCAGATGGGTGGCTCTAGAAGGTGCAAGGAGCATCTGTCTGTTGTCCAAGAGGATGCAGGGGCTGGTCAGGATCTGCAGAGTTCTTTCCCTTTCTTGCCTGTGTCACAGCCGTGGGAGGCTGTGGATCCCGGATGTGGTGACAGCCCCCCTTCCTAGCAGGATGTGCTGAACCACTGGGCCTGGAGGACAACAGCATCCCCGACAGGCAGATCACTGCCTCCAGCACCTACCGGACCTGGGGCCTGAACGCCTTTAGCTGGTACCCCTTCTACGCGCGGCTGGACAAGCAGGGCAAGTTCAACGCCTGGACCGCCCAAAGCAACTCTGCCTCCGAGTGGCTGCAGGTGGGCCGGCCCCTCCTGGGGCGCAGGGCTGGGCTCGGCTGGGACCCGCTGGGACCGGGTGGGGCTACCAGACCTCCACCCTCCACCTGGCTCAGGCTGCTGCTCCCCAAGAGGGAGTTTCTCAAAAGCCTGCTTTTTCTTTGGCTTTGCTCTTTCTTCCTCCCGTGTGCCCCGGCTTCTTCTGATTCTGTAACTCCAGAGGGAGAGCGGGAGCTCAGCACTGCCTCCACCGAGGCCCCCAGCCCCAGGTGGAGAAAGGGCGTGTGTGGGTGTGGGTGTGGGTAGGGTCGTGCCCCCTCTACTGGCCGCCACAGCATGACAAGTGAGCCCTCGGACAGTGGGGCAGGGTTCGGGGGGGGGACATGTGACCAGACGCTGTGGGATTTTTCCACCTGAGCACCGAGCATATGCATTCGGCCCCATTGTCTGGGACACACCGTGAGACAGCGCTTGGATTTCACGGGAAACCTGGGCATCTGCTCATTGTGTAGATGACGAAACTGAGTCTTTGTCTGGGGCCCACCTGCTGGTTGGCAGTGAGTTGGGTTGCAAGCTGGGTCTTGGGGCTGCACGTCTGGGGGGGCAGCTGGCAGCCTCCCCGGGGTACTAGGAGCCAGAGGTCTGTCTCGAGGCCCCCAGGGGCATGATATTCTGTGGAGCCGGTTCCGTCAGGAGCCGCCCGCCTGTGGACTCCCCTCAGGACCAGCGGCAGGCTGTGCGCAGCCCTGCAGGGGCCCCGGGAGCCGTTCCTGCCCCTCCAGGCTCCAGCCCTTCCTGCCTGGTCCCCATCATCCGAGGGGCTGGCCGGGGCCCAGGTCTGAAATCGGGGCTTCCGCGCGGTGACTGCGAACAGTGTCTGACAGAGTAGGTGGTGGTGTTTATGTCCATTTTATAGAAGAGGAAACTGAGGCTCTGCCAGGTGAAGTGGCTTTCCCCAGACGAGAGTTCATGCCCCAGTGTGTTTGCCTTTTCTTGCTTCATGGAGATGCTTCAGGCAAAGAAAACGTGGTTGGTTTTTCCTATAGGTCGACCTGGGCTCCCAGAAGCAGGTGACCGGGGTCATTACCCAGGGAGCCCGAGACTTCGGCCACATCCAGTACGTGGCAGCCTACAAGGTGTCCCACAGTAATGACGGCGCGAACTGGACTGAGTACCGGGACCAGAGGGCCGCAGACAGCAAGGTGAGTGTCCGGCCGCCTGCCCCACACGGCCCCAGGGGTGCCTGGCCTGTGCTCTGCCAGGAGGGGGCTGGCCTGGGGCCCTCCTGACACTCTCTCTGCCTCCAGATCTTCCCTGGCAACTTGGACAATAACTCCCACAAGAAGAACATGTTTGAGACGCCCTTCCTGGCTCGCTTCGTGCGCATTCTGCCTGTGGCCTGGCACAACCGCATCACGCTGCGCGTGGAGCTGCTGGGCTGTTAGGGGTAGGCCAGACCGAGGCCACTGGGAGGGCCGTGGGGCACCTGCCCCTTCTCTGGTCCTCCTGGCTTCTGTGGGCCTGCCGCCTCCTCCACCCTCCCTCCTGATTGTAGCTAACCTGGTGGCGCGGGTTCCACCCTCCCTCCTTCCCTCCACCTCCCACATGCCCCCTGCGCCCAGCCCTCCTGCCATCCCTTGTTGAAGGCGCTGTGGGAGGGGAGGAGGTCTGGGATGGACAGGGAAGGGCGAAGTAGGGCATGTGTGACCTGCACCTCTCAGACCCCCGATTCCAGCCTCTGTCCTCCCCAGCCCCTCTCCCACACCTCACATTCCATGGCCCTGGAGGAAGGCCCTTAGGCGCCAGGCGGGAGATAATGGCCTCCTGCCCCTCAGCCCTGACGCGTGTTGCTGCCACTCCTGCTGTTGCCACCTAGCCCCCGACACTTCCCCTCCTTATCTCCTTGGAGCCCCTCTTGACCCTTGTCCTGAAGCCTAGAAAGAGACCGGAAGGGGGTGGGGTGGGTCCATGGAGAGAGGGGGAGGAGGTGGGTGGGCATGGGGGACCCTCTGTGCTGGTTGTTCACCCCAGAGTACACAGGCAGCTTCCAAAATATATTTATATCACCCCCTGGAACTCTTGCTGTGGTTCATCATTGCTCCTTTGAAATGGGCCTCGGCTTGTGCTGGTCCCCACCCCCCACCCTCGTCCACCCCGAGCCCCAGACTCCTTGTGTCGCTTGCCTGACGACAGAGCGCTTAACAGCAGCAGGACGCAGCCAGGACTTTGAGTCCCAATCCTTGGGCTCCCCCTCCAGACCCCTGCAGCTCTGGGGCCTCAGGCGCCAGCGCGGTGAGGGGTCCAGGGGTGCCTGGTACAGAGGCTGTCTCCCTTTGCTTCCTTGCCATGCCAGGAGGACAGGCTGGTGCTGCTGGTTTTCCCCTTCGGCACTTTGCATTTTCTCTGCAGCTGGAGTGGTGGGCTGGAGGAACTAGTCGAAACTCCATGAGCCTGGGCTGCTTTCAGAACTGTGGGGGGCCCCAGGGTGGGGTGCAGTGTGGGATGGCAGGGACTGGGGCTCTGCCAGGTGGGTCCGAGGCTCGTGGGAGGCCGCTGGCATCTTTACTGCGGGGCTTGGAGGAAAGCCCCAGGGGAACTGTGATCCTTTGCCCTCCCCTATGCAGGGGCCGGCAGGAAGTGGCCAGTGGGGGCAGTGCCCTGGTGATCTGAGCAGGGGTGCTGGCGGCTAGAGGAGGACTGCTAGCCGGGAAAGGGGCACATGAAACCACTCTAGTGTTCGAGGCCTTGGGACACAAGGTGAATTTTCTGGCACGAACTTTGGGAGCCGTGCTGTGATACGACAGGCACCTCTGGGCAGCAGATCTGGCCACGCGGCTGCCAAAGGCAGGGTGTGGTTTCGTGGAACTTGGTCAGGGAACTTAGTCTGGAATTGGCTCCTTCCTGACAGCTGCTGTTGCCAGGGCTTCTTGGCTGGGCAGGGACAGAAGCAGAGGCCCAGGCTGTTATCTCTGAATGAACGGGGGGTGTCGGGCTCCCCACCCCTAGGGTCCCTCGGCCCCCTCCTGCCTGTGTCAGGGCTCTCCTCTGCAGAGCTGCATGGATTGGGTTTGGAGTCTGTCTTTCTGGGTTCCCTCCTGGGAGCATTTCCCACCCCAAGCCCTGTTCTGCCCTCTCCCGGGGGCTAGCAGACAGCAGGAGAAGCATCTCATCCCCACGTCTCTGCGCTGGCATGTCCTGCCTCCCCAGGGACTAACTGTAGCTCGACCCTTGCTAGAACCCAGGAGTCCCACTTGTAGAAGGGGAAACTGAGAGCTTCACTCCCATCTGCAACTCATCCCTCTAGGTGGCACTGAATATTTTCTGTGGGCCAGTCTCTTTGGCTGGCCGTGTGGGCTGGTAGGTAGTACTCACAAGCCCACCATCTGGCCCACGAGACCGGGGGCGACTCTGGAATAGCCTTGACCACCTCTCAGGCCTTCTGCTCATCTTTGCAGCCTTGGATATGTTCGCTGTCACCTTCTGGGACCCTGGAGCGGAGCCCCCTCACTCCTGACCCTTGTGCCCTCGGCCCCTCTCCCTGGGCAGCCTCCTCCACAGACATAGCTTTGAGCATCGCCTCCACGAATTGACTTTTTTATTCCTGACTGCAGTCCTGAGAGCCACCTTTGAGGTTCTGCCTGCTGGCCAGCCCTGCCACCCCCAGCATTAAACTCGTCCCAAAGCTGACCTCCCCTGTCTGTCCCTCTCCTTGCACCTGTGGCTGTCAGCACTGGGACCCGTCGCCCCGCCTCTCCCAGGAGTCCAGTCTCCTTTCCCTTCCTGGTTTAAGTATAGCGGAGTGGTTAGGGGCTCAGGGTCTCTAGCCGGAGGACCTGGGTTCAAATCCTGGCTCCGAGTGACCTTGGCAGTTAAATCTCTCTGGGCCTCAGTTCCCTCCTCCGTAAAATGAAAAAAATAGGACCTTGTGGCCTTGTGGGGACTAAAGCCCGCCCCGTGGGAGGCCTCATAGACTTCGGTCATTGTCATCAAGGAAGCTTGCAAGAGTTTCCAGGTTGGTACTTATGTCCTGTGTATTTCCCCTCCCATCCATCCTGCACACAGTGCTCAGACATGTCTCTCCTCCTCGCAGAGGAACCTTCATTGGCTCCCTCTTGCCCATCAAGCCTGGTGTTCACTTTGGATACAGTTTAGCTTCTAGTCCACTGCAGCTCTTTGCTCTCTGATTTACTCCTGGCTGTGTGTGAGTGTAGCACACGTGCACGTGCACACACACACACACACATACCCCCCAGAGGCATGTGCACGTGAGCATGCGGGCTGTCGAATGTATTTAGGAAGAGGCGCTGGGCTCAGTGACCCTGTGGCCCTCCTCCCAGCCAAATGGAAGGACCTCTCTTGGCTTTTCTGCTGAGGGAACAATGGTGCTGTCCAGGCCAGGGCCCCCTTGGTCTGGACGGGAAAGAAAACACTCTGTCCAAACAGAGGCATCCTGGGAGGTGGCTGCCGGGATGGCTGTGCTGACAGATGTCAGGATTCTAAGGGAGGGTCCCCCTGTTGGAGGACCAGTCAGAAGCCTGCTTGCCCCTGCAGGCTGCTGGGAACATGCCAGCCTATGCCTCCTGTGGCCCCAGGGCCACTCATTCTAGCCCCACCCTCTAGGGCAGCATCCACATGCCTGACCCTGAGTTGAGTCTGGCTGGCGGGTTCATGATAGCTGAACTCCAGGGCAGGAGGGGTGTTCACACCCCCTTTCAGCTATTGGTGATGGTGGGGGGAGGTCAGCATAGAGAGCCTCACCCTTTCCACTCCCCACCGTGTGGGCCAGAAAGTCCACCTGCGGAGTGCAGGAGAGGGGCTCCTCCTGCTAAGTCCCCTGTTTTTGGTTAACCAGGGCGTTCTAATGGGACCCTTCTTCTGCAAACTCTCCTCTTTCATCCATCACTTACCTCCTCCCCCAAGTTGTGACAACCTCAACTCTTGGACATTACCTTCACAGCTTGGCCAGCGGCTCCGCGCTTCGAGGGGTGGTCCCCAGCCAAGTCTGGATTCAGCCCAATCCTGCAGCAACTCCTCCCTTTGGGCCCAGCCTTTGGAGGGAAAGGGGCGTGTCTTCCTTTAAGGGGCTGGCCCGGCGGGAGCGCGAGGGTTTGTCCGCAATCGCTTCCTTTCTGGCCATTCAAGATCCCCAAATCCGCCTGCTTCCTCGGACCCGGACAGCCCGCGGCCAACAGCGCTCGCGCCGTCGAGGAGCCACCTGGGGACGGTATGTGGGTCGGGGATGGCCGGGTTCCTGGGGCCCCGTGGGGGCCAGGTTTCCTCCCTCCCCACTTTGGGTCTTGTGCAGCCCCCACGCCTCCCTGGGCAAGGTCCGGGAAGCGGGCAGGGGGAATGAGCTGGGCACCAGGGTCGGGGCGGAGCTGGGGTGGGATCGCCGGCGGGGGTGACTGGGGGCGGGGGGGGGGGGTGCGGTGCGGGGGCGCTGGGCCCTGGTGCGCGCCGCCAGGAGGCAGATCCCGAGCGAAACCCGTGGCCTCGGAGACCACCGCCCGGGTGCAGCCACCTTCCCACCGGGGCCGCTGGACTCCTTCCCATCTCCTGTGCGGGTTCTGCCGCCGCCAGCACAGCGCACCGCGCACCGGGCTCTGCCCCGGGGCATCTGTCGGATGCTCGGGGCCACGAGAACTCTGAGAGGGGCTGGGGACCACCCGCGAGGCGGCGGGCGGGCGGACCTGCGCTTCTCGGCCTGTGGCAGTCCGCGCTGGCCGTCCCGGGGCAAACGCCAGAGATGCCCATCGGTTTCAGACCTCGGTCCACTGGGGTTTCTGCCTTAGGAACAGCGAGACCAGAAGGGGCCGAGAGGGCGGAGGGTAGAGCCCTGGATGGGGTCGCTCAGAGAGGAAATAGCGCAAGGCACTCTGTCACCAACTCGCCAGGTGGCCCCGAGCAGCCTGTGACCCAGTCTGGACTGCGGTGTCCAGTGCCTCTGCTCTCTGCAGCAGGGGGAGGTGATGGACCGCGCCTGGCCCCGCTCCCGGGGCCCTGCAGGGCCAGCCGGCCGGGCACGCTGCTAGGAAACACCTTCGCCTTCCACTTTCCGGAGCCGCACGGTTCAAAGGCGCTTGTAAGCCTTGTCTATACAGGGGGCACCGAAGTCAAATTCCACGCTGGGAGGCGGGCTCGAGGAGACCTGGAGGACAATGCTGCCCTCTGCTGGTGTCTGGGGGACTGGCACGGTCGCGTGGCCCTCCGAGGCTTGTCCGGTGGCGCTCCGTCTTCCTCCCAAGTCAGGGTTGGGCTTGTCCCGGTATGTGGAGGGGTCCTGAGGCAAGTGGTGCTGGGAAAAGCAAAGGATGGGAGGTCAGAATAGGTCTAATTTCCACCTATTTACCAAAGATAAAGCCTGGGGTAGTTCACTCACTTCCATGCCCTTGGCCTCCGGTTCCCCAACTGTAAAGAGAAGGCAATGGTGGCTGCTTTCTCTCCCAGGCAATGAGAAGGGAGGAGGATCCGCTGAAATAACGTGAGACTTCACTTTGTAAGTGATTAGTAGTAATCCTAGCTAGTGTTTTTGAGTGCTTGCCCCCTCCATTGCTCTGCAGACATTCTCTCCCTTAATCTTCATGAAAATATTTTCTGGTCGGTACTCTTGTGACCCCCATTTTACAGATGAAAGTGAGGCTCAGTGACTTCTCAATGGCAGACTGTTACTAAGTGGATGGAGCCAGAACCAAATCCAGGTGGCCAATCTGGTTCTGAAATCTGCCGCCATGTTCCTCTGCCAATAATATCAGCTGCTGATTGCTTCGCACTTGCTGTGCGGTCAGGGGCTGGATGTCGTTCATCTGGTGTGATCCTCACCACAGCCCTATAGGGAGGGGGCTGTTGTTATCCCCTTTTTACAGATGAGGAAATGGAGGCACAGACAGGTGGAGTAACTTGCCCAAGGTCACTCTGTAGGATGCAGGTGTGTCCGGCTCTAATACTGAGCCCAGGTCTGGGTGTCCAGGCAAGGCTCCAGCTGACTTGGGGAGCCACCCACTGCCACGGGGACTGGGCTAGACTCGATCTTGGGCCTTCCAGCTGGTGGCAGGTCTGTGGTGGTCCTGAGAGGGAGCAGAGGCGGTCCATTGCTACACTGCCCTGTGCTTTAGCATAACAGTCAGGGTGGTCCTTGTGCTCAGCCCCCGAGCTTCCCTGTTAGTCTTCTCTGGAGATGGGGAGACTTCTATTCAGAGAGGTCACGTGGCTTGCCCAGGGTCACCCAGCCAGCAGGTCGCAGAGCCTCGATACAAACTCGGCAAGCCTAACTCAGAACCTCAGGCTTGTGTGCTGCCTCCTCTTGGGGGGCTACAGGAGGGGGCCAGCTTCCACCCGGGTGGAGCTCCAGGACACCAGGCTGATCTTTTCTTCAGAGCTCCTTTCGGTTTTCTTGGCGTGCCCCTCCACCCCCAAGGTTGGATGACTGCTGGGCTCGCATCCAGCCAAGAGGGGTGTTGACCTGGTCACACCTCGCCATTGGCAGTAGTGTTCCTAAACTAGAGGAAAGCCAGGGAGCGCCCAGACTGGAGAGGGCCCGGAGGAACAGAGAACAAGGCTGTTTGTAGCTCCAAAGGAGGAGGAGCCAGGCTGAGGACACGCCCCTGACCGGTGGGAGGAGGACAGCCAGAATGATGGGTTTAGAATGTCAGTCAGGCTCCTGATGCTCCTCTGCTGGACACTCTTCGTGTCTTCCCTTTGGTGCCACATCGTGGGGCCTGTGACTGCCCCTCGGACAGCATCTCCTACCACCCTCCCTCTTGCTCCCTGGGCTCCAGCCTCCCTGGACTTCAAGCTATTCCTGCCAAAGGCCTTTGCACTTGCTGTTCCCTCTCTCGGAAAGCTTTTCCCTACCATCTCCAAAGCTCTCATCTTCACCATTGATCCCCTTCTCAGGGACCTTCCTGATCCATCCTGTCTCCAGGAGCACCCTCGTCCCCCGCTTCTTCCACTTCTGTCACGTATGTCGCTTTCACAACTCATACGTCTCCCATCGCGTTTACTGTCCATCTCCCTCACTAGAATGTAAACTCCACGACGACTTCCGGTTTCTGTCCCCCGTGCCTAGAACTGTGCCCCGCACATGGGAGACGCGTTCCCCAGCCCCTTCATCTATCACCTGGGTAACCTTAGCCGAGCAACCTAGCGTCTCTGAACCTCAGTTTCCTTGTCTGTATGACGGGGACAATAATTATGATATTGTGAGTCCCACAGGTGACTACATCCACGAAAGTGCATTGACCAGTGGAACGCAGTCCTTAAATGTGACAGACGGTTGTGAGGGTTGGCTGAAAGAGCTCAGCGGAGAGTCCTGCCTCCTGGCTGTGTGACCTTTGGACCGTTGCTTGACATCTCTGTGCCTCTGTCTGCCTGTGGATTAAATGTGGGAGAGTACAGTTCTCCTTGCTGACAGGGGTGGGGGAGCTCTTGCCAGGACTGAGGAACTGCCAGACATGGAAGCCCTTTAAGATGCAGGGAGCAAGTGTGGGGCCTAGGCTTGAGGTTGTGAGTGGGTGCTGGGGTCCCCGAGGCCGGGAAGGGGTGCCTGGGAGCTTGCTGGGGGATGCTGGAAGGGACCGCAGTCTGTTCTGTCTCAGTGAGTGTTCTGAACTGTGAATTCCCTCATTCATGATGTCAGAACGATGAGGGGACCGTGTCACCGTCATATGGAATCGCATTGGTTCCGTGGTGGGTTCCCAGCACCCTGATGTGTTGGAGGGACCGTGTCGCGATTTCTCACATTTAAAGAGCAAGCTGTAGCAGCGTGTGACTTCCTCAGGACAAATGCCAGCAGTCCTGCAGAACGTGCCTTTCCCTCGCTATCCAAACTCTTATGATACACTGTCCAAAACTCAGGAGCCAGACAGATTTGGGTAACGCACGCAGCATCTCTTCCTGCCGAGTTCCCCCAGCTCCCAGCGTCCAGACTCTTGCCATCCCAACTCAAGGACGCGGTAGCTGTGCTGAGGGAGGCTGCCTGTGTGCTGCTCTACACGCCACGGTTTCTGATAAAAGTGGGAAACGGATGCAGAAGTTGCAAAGACATTTCCCCCATGTTAAAAAAATGATCGAGGGGCCGGCCCAGTGGCGTAGTGGTTAAGTTCACGCGCTCTGCTTCAGTGGCCCTGGGTTCTCAGGTTTGGATCCCTGGCACAGACGTAGCACCGCTCGTCAGGCCATGCTGGCGGCATCCCACATAAAACAGAGGAAGATTGGCACAGACGTTAGCTCAGCAACGATCTTCCTCAAGCAAACAGAGGAAGATTGGAAACAGATGTTAGCCCAGGGCCAATCTTCCTCACACACACACAAAAAAAGATCAAAGAAGATGGTTCACCCTGGGTCAGATTTTTAACTTTGGCCAATCTGGTTTCTGTTAGAATCCAGTGCCCCCAAGGACCTCCGTCTCAAAGGAGGTCGCCCTTGCCACAGCCATGAAGGCTGCAAAGGGCTGATTGACCCTTTGGTGCCACTGTCAGGGGGCCAGTGGGTTTAGCGCCCAGTGGGTGCCACTGTCAGGGGAGAGTTAAAGGGGTTGGTCTTTTTTTGTTAGGGTTGTCCTTGTTTTTGTTAGTCCTCTGCTCACCAAGTTGCGTATAATTTGCAGTCATCTGTCCCAAACTTATTTTTCCCCTAAGCTTGTTCGTTTTTCATGCATGATCCTGCAAAAATCCACTTTTTTTTTTTTTAATACAAAATCACTGGCAGCAGCGCCCGCCTTTGCTCGTTCTGGGGAAGCGCTTTCTTACCGGGGAGCGTCTGCACCGGAAGAGCTGCTGGAAGAGGCTGCAAACGCTGCACACGGAGGCTCTGGGCGCCCCGGGCCAGGGTGGACCCCTGGGGCATCCAGCGCAGCATCAACAACCCTCTGGGCCCTCATTCCACTTCCCTCCTCCTTCTGAATGTGGGACCTCAAGGGAGGAAAGGAAACCAGCTCCAAGCCAGGCCCTGGGCTACCTGCTCCACACACATCACTTCCCTGAATTAGACCCGGTGGTTCCGGGCTTGGGCACTGGAGTGGGTTCAAATCCTCACTCTGCCACTTCCTCGCTGGATGACCTTGGGCATTATTTAATCTCTCTGGGCCTTGGTTTTCCCGTCTGTAAAATGCGGGTACTAATAGGTCCCATCTCAGGGGTGGTGGTGAGGATTAAATGAGATCGTATGTGCTCATGAAACGCAGCTTTAATATTTTTATGCCTATCATAAAGTGGAAGTGAGTTGTTTGTCAGGCCAAGTCAGGCTAAGCTGCGTTCACAAAGGGGACTTGAGATGCGACCTTAAATACCATGGGACTTTGTTTCTCTCTCATGACCTGGTGCAGGTGGGGGAGGGCCAGGGCTGGAGGGGTGGCCCTGCCATTCGATCTGTGGTTTCCATCTCTGAGTCTAACGTGGCTGCTCAGTCGCCAGGAGGTTGGGGCGAAGAATACCAGGGAAAGGTGTCCCTAATTGTTTGAATGGCATGTCCTGCATGGGGCACGTGTTATTTCTGGGCAATGCCATGGGTCAGCCCCGCCCAGCCGCCAGGGAGGCTGGACACACAGCCTTCAGCTGACTGGTCACACGGATCTAGAATTCTGCTACTACAGGAGAAAAGTAGGGCATATTGGGGAGCAATAAGTCGTGGTGAGTTTTACGATCTCTCTTTCACATGTGAGGAAACCTCTCCAGGGTCACACAGCTCGTGAGTGGCGGAGCTGTGATTTGAACCCGGATCCTCCCGTCCCCAATCTCTGCCTTAGGTTGCCTGCCTGTGCCTGGGCTGCCCAGATCCACGTCACCAAGGGGCTTTGTGGGTGTTGCCTGGGGATTCCTCTGGGACAAGAAGCGAGGCCTCAGAGGGCAGTGTCCTCCGCAGGGCACAGCTCGCAGGGCAAGTCTGCGCCTCAGGGTCTCTGCAAAGATGTCAGAGAGAACAGTGGGGTCTACCTCGCCACCTCCTCCACATCCCTAACTTCCTCTCCCGCGGGAGCTCCTGACTGTTCTGGAAACAAGAATGTTTCCTCCACAGTCCTACACCCTTGTAGTCCGATGTTTGTCTTGTCTTTCCCCCTCCCTCCCTCCTCCCCTTTCTCCCTTTCTCTCTCTCTTTCTCTTGTTCCCTCCCCCTTCTGGCTCCTGTGCACAGTCCTTCGTAGGGCCACATACTGACAGTCACAGTAGAGTGGCGGTTCTGGCTTCCGCTTTGGCTGTTTTAAATTACACTCTAAGCGGTTTCCCGCGATGCTGCGTGATGATCATAGTTAGGCTTCTAGATGCCTGCTCTGGCCTTGTTGCCCCACAGCGCCTTCTGGTCCACCCAGGAGGGCTGTTTCTAAGATGTAGGGCTGACCCTGTGGTCCTCCGCTTAAAGCCATTCCTGGCAGCCCAGGGCCTTTGGGACAAAGGACAGGCTGCTGAGCCTGGCACCAAGCCGTCAAACACTGGTCTCGCTGACCCCTTCCCTCCTCTCCCTGGTATCAGCCAGGGCTTGGCAGGAAGCAGAATTCGCCCTAGAAGTTTGCAATAAAGAGAATCCGATGAAGGGATGACTCCTAGAGAGGAGGGTGGATGCAGCAGACAGGGGAGTGGGGGATGCAGGGCCAAGCATGGGCCCTCACTGCCCCCTAGGCCTGGAGGGGACAGGCGAGGAAATGGTGTTACAGAGCCCATGAGAGCGGGTCCTGGGAGAGGAGCCCCCGCTGGAGCCGTGCTCCTGAGGGTCACAGATGTGGCCGAGGCACGAGAGTGAGGACCGGCAGGGAGGAAATAATGCCCTCTCTGCTCTTTCCTCCCCCGCCTGCCCATCTCCTGTGGGTGCCTCCCACTCGCTGAGTCTGGCTGGAAGTCAGAGGGCCAGGGCGCCCGGGAGAAGTGGCACACAGGGGCCAGTGCAGGGCAGATGTGGGGCACCGATGGAGAACTTCCAGCACGGCCTAGCCCGCACGTGCTCTCTTTGGCCTCTGCATCTCTGCGTTTGCTGGGTCCCTGCTGAGCAAACCCCGCTGTCCTGCGCCATCTGGCTCCCTCCTGGACCTCAGTCTAGCTTCCCTGCTCCTTCTCTGCACCCCATCTTTGTGTTCACCACACAGCATGGTGACCCCCAGCCTGTGACTGCCCCCTCCCTGCACGGAGCTCCTCGGAGGCCTGATCCAGCGCTCAGTAGATGGCGATGACCAGGGCGGGGACCCGGGAAGGTGCGTGAGGCACTGGCCTTGGGCACAAACTTAAGGGGGGGAGTGTGTGTGCGCCAAAAAAATTCAGTAATCAAGACATAATATTTTAGTGCAATATTCAAAAAAATCAAATCAACAAACGACAGCCTGTGGAACAGCTATTTTATTTGAGTGTCCACCGAAACCCGAACAGCCCCTCAGAAGTGTTCTACTGTGATGTTTAAATTTTTTTGGACCTTGACCCAAGATACGAAATAAATTTCACATTGTGACCTCCCCACTTCATCCCCACACACCTTTCTGCCAAAACAAAAGCTTCACAATGTAGGCCTCATCCTCCCCAAATACGGATGTGCCCTGGTATTTTCTAGTCTAGTCCAGTCTCTTCCATGCCGTTAAAAAATGCTGCTCACAGCCTTTCAAATTCAAACCTGCAGTTTGAAAAACGTCGATGCTATCGTGTTGTCCTGCTTAATTTCTCCACGTCTCTCTGCTGCCTCGTAAGTCAGGATTTGTTGGCTTGCTCATGGCCATCTTGCCTGTGGGCTGTGGCCCCCGGAGAGCAGGGACCTTGTCTAACTCGTCACTGCTGTCTTCTTGGCTCTTGGCTCACAGAAGATGCTCCATAATACTTGTTGAGCGAGTAGGTGCCGGAGCCCAGGGGTCCCCAGCCCCCACAGTGGGGCTTCTCTAACTGGCTTGTTTTTCTCCTCTTCCCAGTTGGCCCCGGGCCCCAGCCCTGCCCAGGACCCCCGGAGCTGCCGCCATGCATGACACCATGGGGCTGCTGGTCCTGCTGCTGCTCCCGCTGGCCGGCGTCTCCGGGCTGCCCTTCTACAACGGCTTCTATTACTCCAGCAGCCCCGTGGGCAACGGCCATGGCGAAGGTGGGCCGCCTTTTGGGCCCAGCTTGGGCTCCGCCTGCCGGGTGACCGAGACCTCCCCTGGCCCCTGCTGTGACCCAGCAGCCCTCTTCCCATTGGGGACTTTGCATTAGGCCAGGCTCGCTTCTAACACGAGATGCTTGAGTCACTCTGTGTTTGCCAGCTCCACGGACACGGAGCCCAATGTACTTAAGGACGACCACTTGTGCTTTTTATACTTTCCCAACATCCTGCCAGTTTGTCAAGACCGAGCATAAATGTGACCTCCCCTGATCTCCCCAGTGGAAAGGGGTTGGGGTCAGACAGATGTGAGTTTCAGTCTTAATGTTGCCACTTCCTAGCTACGTTGCTTTGGGCAGGTGACATTTTAGTTGGTGGTGGCTGCACACCTACTATGTGCCAGGCAGGCTTCTAGGTGCCTTACCTACATTGTCTCACGTAAACCTCACAAACACCCTGACATGGGCAAGGGTGAGAATAAAACATTTAACATCCAGGGCAGCACGGGCCCTGACCAGGCTCGATGGATGCTGGCTGCCCTCGCAGCCCCAAAAGCAGATACTGTTTATTATTCCATTTTGTAGATGAGGAAACGGAGGCTCAGAGGGTTGAGCCAGGTGCTCAGGGCACACGGATCTTAAGAGGCCACGCTGAAATCTGTCTGTGGAAGGACTGGGAAAATGAGCAATGCCTGGCCCCTCCCCGTCTTGATGTGGGCTCCCTCAAGGCTCTGGGGCAGAAGCCGCTCTCTGCCTCCTCTGGTTCCAGGTGGCTGCCTGCATACCTTGCTGCTGTGTCACTCCAGTCTCTGCCTCCATGGTCACATTGCCCTCTCCTCCTCTGTGGGCAAGTCTCCCTCTGCCTCCTTCTAAAAAGATACTTCTGATTGCATTTCGGGCCCATCTGGAAAACCCAGAATACCGCCCCCCATCTCTAGTTCATTGATTTAATGCCATCTACAAAATCCATTTGACTGTAAAAGGTGACACTCCCAGGTTCCAGGGAAGAGGCCCTGGATATTTGGGGGAGCCATTGCTTAGCCTACCACACCCCTTTTCTCCAGAATTGGTTTTGTTGTACAAGCACACTTTAATGAGATTCAAGGAAACTTAAAAACATCAGCTTTCTACCCATCAGTCCACCACTTGACCAGGCCAACTCTTCATTTTTCTCCTTCCCTTTAGTTCCTGAATATATGTGAGCAAAATCACAAATAGTGCCCCCACCCAGGGGAACCACTGCTAACGTTTTAGGTGTATCCTTCCAGCCTTTCATACATGATTAAGAGAATTTCCTTTAGCCTCATACTGTACGTGTAATTTTGTTGTTTCATAGAATACACGTCCGCCAGGTTATTTGACATGGCTGTTTAGTATTTTGTCATATGATTTAGCTAAACATTTTCACTTTATTCAGGTTAAAGCTTCAGACACAACTTTACTAAAGAGCTCTGGGAACACAAAGGGCATTGACACCAAATGACAGCCGGGCTCATGTCTGTTGAGCTCTTTCTCTGTGCCAGGTGTCCCGCCTCACCTGATCTGAGCCTCTCTCAGCCCTCTGTAGGTCCCGTTACTATCCCATGCTACAAAGGAGGAAACCGAGGCTCGATTTCTCTAGACTACGTGTTGTGAAAAGCTGAGACTCAAGCCCATCTTGCCTGCCTCTGGGCCTGTGCTCTCAGACCGCTGTGTCCTGTCATCCAGAGCAGGATCCTCCAGCTTGAGTGACCACAGAGTCACCTGCAGCACTTGTTAGGACACTGATTTCTGGGCGTCACCCCCAGAGCTTCTGAGTCAGCATCGCTGGGTGGGGCCCAACAATGCATTTCTAAAAAGTTCCCAGCGGTGCTGGTGCTGCCGGCCCAGGACCCACTTTGAGAACCGCTGCAGAGGAGCATCTGGTCGTCAGGTGCAGCTCTCGTTCAGCGTGACATGCTCTGTGGGGAGCCTCCTTGTCTATCTCCTGCTGACCCCCCAGGCTGCCCCTCTGCCCCCGCCCTGTGTACCTCCAGGGGCCCGAAGTCCTCACCAGGGTCGTGACACAGTGAGACCGCTGTAGTGGGTCTCAACTAAAGACGAGCCAGCCTGGCCCATGCGCTTGCTTTCTGTGTTGCCTGTTAGGCTCTGGTTTCTTTGTGCCCTTGAGCCCTGAGCACAGTCTCCTCTAGAAGTCCCTGCCTCATCTTACCTGCATTACTAGGAATTCGGGCAGAGTCACGGCGGGCAGTTGGAAGAGAGCGAAGGGCAGGCTGTGCTCTCCTGTGGCCCGTGTCACAGAGAGGGAGACTGGGGGCATCCGGGTCCTAGCCACCCCACCCCCCGTACGGCGGTGCTCTGTCGCCTGCCACATCACATAGCTTTTGCTGCACAACAAACTTCGCGGCTTGAGACAGCAGCCATTTGTTTTGCTCGTGATTCTGTGGGGCAGCATTTGGGCGCGCTCACTGTGCCTGCAGTTGGCGGGCAGGTCGGGGGGGGGGCTGGTTGGTCTCGGATGGCCCCAGTTGGGACGGCTCCCTGCGCTTTCGTCCTCCAGCAGGTGAGCCCAGGTGTGCTCTGATGGCGGCTGACAAGGTCCCGAAAGTGGAAGCCGCAGGGTCCCCTGGGGCCTGGGCTCAGAACAGGCACAAGGCAGCCGTCACTTCTGCCACGTCCATTTGGTCACAGCAAGTGGCAAGGCCAGCACAGGTTCAAGGGAGGGGGGAGCAGTCGCCTCTTGATGGAAGGAGCTGGATGCAGAGCGTGGATACAGGGAGGCGGGGAGCCTGGCGGGAGCTGGGATGAGATCCCCCTCTGCACCCCCCTCCCCCCCAGGCCTCTTCAACGGAGTGAAGCTGGTGGTGGACACGCCCCAGGGGACTCTGTTCTCCCATCAAGGGGCCAATGTGACCCTGCCCTGCCGCTACCACTACGCGCCGGCCCTGGCCTCCCCCAGGCCCGTGCGCGTCAAATGGTGGAAGCTGTCGGAGAACGGGGCCCCCGAGCAGGACGTGCTGGTGGCCATTGGGCTGAGACACCGCTCCTTCGGAGACTACCAAGGCCGGGTGCGTCTGCGGCGGGACGGGGAGCGCGAGGCGTCGCTGGAGATGCAGGACCTGCGGCTGGAGGACTCCGGGCGCTACCGCTGCGAGGTCATTGACGGGCTGGAAGATGAGAGTGGCCTGGTGGAGCTGGAGCTGCGGGGTGAGACCCTGACGGGGGTGCATGATGCTGGGACCCCGGGGGCCGAGGGGAGAGGGCCCCGGGAAGCATCCAGACCTTTGTGCTTTAAACAGGAAAACATTTAATCTTCAAGACAAACCCATGAGGAAGCTACTGTTACTATCACCCCCATTGTGCAGATGAGGAAACTGAGGCACAGAGAGGTCAAGTAACTTACCTAAGATCACATAGCTCATAAGTGGTGGAGTAGGGATTTGATGCCAGGCAGTCAGTCTCCAGAATCCACTGCCTCTCACTCACACCCCATTCAGAGAGAGGAAAGCAGGAGCTGGTCACACAGCTAATTAGAGACAGAGCTGAGATTCAGGCCGGGTTGGCAGGCAACACAGACGAGTGCCAGGTGATAGGGAGCGGTGGGGACTGGGGCACACTGCCGAGCCCTCGTTCCATCCAAAGGGCCCAGCTGATGATGCCATCCCAGAAGGAGGCCCAACCAGCCAGATTTTCTGATTTGACAAGAGAAGCTGATATTTTTATGTGAACTCTCTGGATTTTTCTGTAAAAATCTCCTATTTAAAAAAAACCTCAGTGCTGTCTAAACCAGTTAGACCCTGCAAGCCAGATCCGTATGTGGGCCCCAGGTGAGGTCTCTAAGTGACTTCTGTTCTCTGTGTCTAGGACGGGAGGTGTGTCCTCATATCTCTCCTGCCTGTTAGGGAGCAGCTTGGGGGGTGGAAAAAGATGACTTGTCTCCATGTCCACCCAATCCCAGCTGTGGCTCCTGGTAAATGCCTCCTCCCCCCAGAGCTCCAGTGCCCTCATGGGTAAACTGAGGAACGAGGGTAGTTCCTCCTTGACCTCCCTCAGAGGAGATGAGGGTCGAATGTGTGTCAAGGCCTAGCTCAATCAATGGCAGACCTTTGCCACCAGCATCCGCTTCCCCAGTCCATGTGGCTTAGATGGTGGCCCAGAGGGGCCACATTTCCCATCCCTGATGTTGGGGATGGTGGGCGCCGGGAGGGAGCCTGTGAGAGTCATTTGTCTACAGGGGACCGGAGAGAAACAGGGAGCCCTCATTCCGTTCCGGGGGTTTCAAAGGAAGGAATTTGGGATGGAACCAGGTGTGAAATAACTCCCCTGCAGACACACACGGGGGTGTGAGCTGATTGTCGAGGCCCACAGACCTCTCTGTGCCCTCGACCTCGCTCCACCCAGGCGGCTGGCTTCCTGCTCCAGAGGAGATTGGGGGTGTGGGGCCCAGGATGGTTCCCGGCCCCTGGCCACAGGGAGGAGCCTCCGAGGACTCCAGGCCCTGCTTCTCAGCCATGCCAGTCCAGGCCGCCAGGTACACCAGTCTCCTTAAGGTTTATCTGATGTGCTAGAGACCAGGTCTCAGGTGTTTAAAAAAACTTTTCATTATAGTAAAATTTCAAACACAAGTGGTGACTTTTGAGAGGACCCTGTGGCCCCTACCAGACCCTGGCACAAGGAGGGGAAGCCCCCAACCCGGGGACCTCCCTGGCCTCAAGCCCCCTTTATTAAGGCCTTTTATGACCCCCTCCTCGTCCCACGGCTTCTAGGGCCTCCCCTTCCCCTGAAAATCGTCTGTCACACTTGGAAAGTTTCTTGTATTCTCCCAAGAAGCTTCCAAATTAATGATGACATAGATGATCAGGCCCCAGCTACTGAGAGCGGGGCTGGGAGCCACACCTGCCCCCAGAGGCAGGTGCTGGAGAGACCGCGCACCCTCACTGGTGTCGTAGTGGGCTCGGCTGTGGGAACAGACCACCACAGCCCAGGGGGCGTAGAAATGACACTTACTGCTCACAGTTCTGGAGGCTGGAAGCCTGAGATCAGGGTGCCAGCCTGGCTGGGGGAGGGCCCTCCTCCGCCTCCCAGATTTCTCACTGTGTCCTCACGTGGTGGAAGGGGCTGGTGCGGGGCTGTCTCTGGGGTCTCCTTTATAAAGGCACTAATCTGAGCACCTCCTGAAGGCCCCGCCTCTGAACACCATCATCTTAGGGGTTAGGATTTCAACACAGGAGTCTGGGGGGACACCCCGAGACCATAGCACTGGGGTTCTCGCAACAGCCCTGGGAATTAGGGATTATTTCCCTTCGATAGTTGGGCACATTAGTTGGCTGATTAATTAATTACCTTAATCAACATTTGCTGAGTCCTGCTGTGTGCCAGCCCAGTTCTAGGAGGGAGGTGTAAAGCAGAGGTCGGCTTGCCTTGCATTTGGATGATGGACAGGAGGTGACAGGCTCGCTGAGCTGCTGAGAGGGACTGTGTGTGTGTGTGTGTTGGGGGAGCATATGTATGTCCCAGTGGACATGGGGGCAGGGCACTGGGGTCTCCAGCCACTGGGCCCCTGCCCACCCCTCCAAGCCCCTCTGTCTTCCCTCCCCAGGTGTGGTCTTCCCTTACCAGCCCCCCCAGGGGCGCTACCAGCTCAACTTCCACGAGGCCCAGCAGGCCTGCGAGGAGCAGGGCGCGGCAGTGGCGTCCTTCGAGCAGCTGTTCCGGGCCTGGGAGGAGGGCCTGGACTGGTGCAACGCGGGCTGGCTGCAGGACGCCTCCGTGCAGTACCCCATCGCGCAGGCCCGGCGGCCCTGTGGAGGCCTGGGCCTGGCCCCCGGCGTGCGCAGCTACGGCTCCCGCCACCGCCGCCTGCACCGCTATGACGTGTTCTGCTTCGCTGCGGCCCTCAGGGGTGAGTGGGACGGCCGGGCCCAGCCCTGCAGGTGGGAGGGCAGCCCCTGGGGGGCTTCTGGACCCCTCCGCCTGCCCTGCCGGCACCTCCTCCTGGAGGTCTGGAGCCCCCGCAGATCTGGAAGCCAGGCTGAGTTTTCAGTGCTCTCCTGCTGCTTCCCACCAATCATTGGTTTATTCATTCATCAAACATTTCCTGAGTGCCTACTACGTGCTGGGGCCGAGACTAGGCTCTGGGCATCAAAGACGCATAAAACACAGCCTCTCTTTATAAAGCGGCTCACTTCATGGGAAGATAAACTAAAAACAGAAATTGGTTCCGTGCCATATCCCCAGCACTTTGAAAAGTGCCTGCCACATAGTGGGTGCTCAGTAAGTGATGGAGCAGATGAGAGATGCTGATCAGTCAAGCCTAAGTGGGGCGCCCACCGAGGGTGCAGTTAGGGAAGGGTGGGAGGAGTACAGACATGACTAGGGGACCCCAGCCCCAGGGCAGGCGAGATGGAGCTCTCAGAGATGGGATGAGGAGGGGGACGGTGCCCCTTGAAGTGTCCACTGCAGATGCCGACAGCATGGGCTCCGTTGTCAGGGTTTGGGGCCCGGTTGCAATGTCTGGATGAGCTGGCATAGAAGCAGGCCCTGCTGTCTTCTCCGGCTGCCCCCCTGCTGCCCTGCCCTCATGCCCCACTTGCCTGCAGGGCGGGTGTACTACCTGGAGCACCCCGAGAAGCTGACGCTGGCGGAGGCAAGGGAGGCCTGCCAGGAGGACGGCGCCCAGATCGCCAAGGTGGGCCAGCTCTTTGCCGCCTGGAAGTTCCGTGGCCTGGACCGCTGCGATGCCGGCTGGCTGGCCGATGGCAGCGCCCGCTACCCTGTGGCTCACCCACGTCCCAACTGCGGGTCCCTGGAGCCTGGTGTCCGCAGCTTCGGTTTCCCAGACCCACAGAGCCGAGAGTACGGCGTCTACTGCTACCGGCCGCGCTAGACCTCACGGCTCCTGACTCGCCGCCCCTCCCCTCGCGGGCTGTATTTATTGACTGCTTCATGTTCCCCTTCCAGTTGGGGTGGTTTTCATCTTGTTTTTATACTTGTCAACTTAAAATTTAAAAAAAATTTATTACAATTTTTCGTAAATCCTACAGCTCCCAGATCCTCCCTCTGCTCGGGCGGACACCCCAAGGCTCCCCGCTCCAGGATCCTCCTGCCCCTCTCCTCTGGCCCTTTGAGCCTCGTGGGCTCGAGAGGGCTCCCTGCCGTCACTGAGTCCAGCCGCTCTCCCCGCCCCGGGGGCTGATGCCCGAGGGGACAGTGACATGAGGAGGCAGGTGTGGCTGCCACAGCTGTCCCTTGGCTCCAGACTGGGTGGACAGGGCAGCCAGGGGGCTCTAGAGCTGGGCTGTGGGCCTCGCAGTCTCCTGCCCGCTCCTGCTTCTCTGTGAAGCTGCTGGACCAGATCAGCGACGCTGAGGACCGGGGCTGGGAGCGGGTCCCTGGGCTTCGGTGTGAAATCCTGGGGAAGGGAGAAATTCCCCGCATGCTCCCCTTCTCTCTTGGTCCCAAAGAGTCCGTATTTTGTTCCCGCTTTTCCCGATTTGGGGAGTGGCCCTCAGGTGTGTGTGCTTTCCTTGGACAATAAAGGTGCTAAGCTTCCTTCTTCCATCCCGGCCCTCCTCTCAGTCTCGCTCCGCATCTTGTTCAGTCTTGGGGCCCAGCTCCCTGCCCAGCGGGCATGGTGGGGTCTATTCTATCCTAGGTTTCAGAGGTCACTGGGGTCCGTCCAGTGGGGTGGGCAGGGAAGTCCATGGCCTACACCTTCAGGCTGACTTGGTTCTGGCCTTGCCTGCTCCGTGGCACACCCTGCCTCGAGTGCTAGCCTAGCGGCTGCGGCTCCAGCTTGCTTCCCCACCATCCCCGCTCCTGGGCTCTGTGTCTGCAGGGCCCAGCACAGGAGTGGGAGGTGCCTCTCAGGAGCCGGAGGAGGCTGTGCCCCTCAGAAAATCTCGGAGGCCAGGCATCTCAGGGACCAGCCCTCTCTGTGCCTCACCCTCTGCCCCCCAACCCCCACCCCAGCCTCAGGAAATGGACCAGTTGCCTCTGCACTGGCACACCTCTGCCACTCACTGTCAGTCAGTCAGTTCTTCATGTAGCCCAGTGCTTCTCAAAGTGTGGCCAGCAGCATCAGCATCACTGGGAACTTGTTAGAAATGCAAATTCCTGGGCCCCACCCCAGACCTGCTGAGTCAGAAACCCCGGATTGGGGCCAGTGGTCTGTGTTATCACAAGCCCTTTTGATTTCTGGTGTAGGCTCAAGTTGGAAAACTACTGACATAGTTGTGTTCCCAACTACTCCGTCCATTAATTGACAAATTGTGTGACCATTGAGCCCTGCTATGTGACCATCGCCGCACCCTCCACTCTGGTCCACTCATTCTTTCCAGAGCTGCCAACAACCTGGGCACACGTACGGATTCACGGAGAGATACTCAACCACACACATACACACTGAACTCACACTGGCACATGCTAACCAACACACAGACGTGTTCACACACACAGACTCAACGCCCACTGAGCAACTCTGATGAGGGGGTGGTGCCAACCTGCCTCCTCCAGAGAGGCCGGTGGAGGAGGCCACCAGGCACGCACTTCCGGCCTGACTCCAGGTTGTGGGGGAATCCATAAACAATCGAAACCATCTTCAGTGATGTCCTAGAGCCTACTTAAAAGCAGGATGCCCAGACATTTTTGCCAGTGGCCAGCCAACCAACTTACCCCAAAATGTGTAAGCAAGAGTCACTGTTTCCAGGCGGGCTGCGATTTTTTTTTGTTCTCCTAAATCCTGATATTGCCTCTGTTCTTGGGCTCACACTACCAACCGACTCCTTCTGTGTGAGCGACAGCGTGATATCAAAGAACAAACTCTGCAAGGTGGCCACGTGTCTCCCTGGAGCTGTCCTTCGACAGTGTGCTGCCCACAAATCCACACGCAGCACCCATTGACTGACACACACATGCACACACACGCACGGAGCAGAGAATCCATCAAACGCATCAGCACCCCCGTAAAAATAAAGCACAACGCGTGTGACTGCCCCCAGGCTTTCTGAACAGGCCCAGATTCACACCAATTTGCGGCCATTTGATCAAAACATGTCCCCACTGCCCCCATTTCTAAAAGCCACTTCAGTAGCCTCTGGACGGTGGCTGCCTTCTCTTTCAATCAAAAAAAGAAGGGAAAAGAAAAGAAACAGATCTCTTCCAATGTCTTTATTATTATAATTATCATAATCTTCAGTTTTCAAAAAATATAAATAGGTGCTCGGAACCCTGGTGCCCGCACGGTCCCGGGGGGTGGGGTGGGGGGGAGGGGAGAGGGTGAGGGGGCGCTCCCGCTGGGAAGGAAGTGCCCCCACCCAGCCCTGCCGAGAGCCACACCTGCTAGGGTGGCAGACAGCCCCGGGGGAGAGGACGCTGGAAGAGGGACCCTTGGAGGGAAGCAGATCCCCACGCATCAGAAGACCCCTGGATGGCTCGCTCCTGCCCACTCACCCTCGGCCGGAACCCACCCGCTCTCCCCCCACCCCCGGCTTCTCCCCGACAGGGATGGTGTGGCTTCTCCTGCTCCGGCCCGGCCCCTTCTCATCGGATACATTCAGCTGCGGCTCCCGAGTTCTTCATGCCCTGGGGCTTCTGCCCTTCCAGCTCCTTCTGCCCCTTCCTCCCTCCTCCCTAGCTCTCCCTGGAGAAGAAAGAACCAACGATTCCACTGCTCTTGGATAAAGTCAGGAAACAAAAAATAATCTTCTTTATTTAACTTAACCCCTCCCCTTCTCCCCCTGTCCCTGCACTGGTCCTTGGAAAGGCACATCGGGAGATTGAAGAAAAGTCTCTAAACTCAGTCCACGGGTTACGATACATTTGCTGTGCTTCGGCATTTGAGGGAGAAAATCAGACGAAGTGTCGGTGATCTGGGGGTGGGGGGGTGGGTGCATACACAAGGTGGGATTTATGTTTTTCCTTCTTTAATGGAATTCCTTAGAGGACAGAAAGCGACAAGAAGAGGACACCATCCGTGTGGGATGTCAGCCTGGCAAGGCTCCTGGGCTCAGCATCCTGGGCGCGTCTGGGAAGCCCCTTTCAGTGGGCCGTGCTGGGGCGGCTCCTCCGTGGGGCCCGGGAGCTCCGCTTCTGTAGTCTGCGCTTGTAGCTGGCGGCTGAGGTGAAGGGGAGATGGAAAAATCCTAGTGAGCCCTCGGGAAGAAAGCAGGGCTGAGCCCTCCTCATCGTGCCCCTCCTCTGCCTGCTCCCCTCTCTGCAGAAACCAGGGGCTCCAGAGGGCAGCCTGGGGGGTTTACCCGCTTCCCAGTTTTAATTTTTCTTGGCAACAACTTGGGCTAAGGGGCTGGTGTTGCAAAGGACAGCGGGCCCCCTGCTTTCTCAGTAAGCCTCCCCTGGGGGCTGAGGGCAGTGCCCCGTGACAAGCAGCCCCCTGGCCTCGCTGCCCTCATGGCTGGTGCAGACGGCTGGCGTCCAGGATCCCCAGGAGAGGGCCAGCCACCGCCGGGCCCCGGACGCAGGGAGGAGGAGGTGCTGGCGGGATGGGACGCTGTGCTCAGCGAGGGGTGGGTGGGGTGGTGCTCACGGTCTGTGCAGGTGATCCGGGGCTCCTCCCACTGTCCGCTGGGCTGGCAGCGGATGGTGGGCACGTGGCGCTGGACAAAGCCCTCGGTGCACTGGTACCGCACCAGGGAGTTGATCTCGTACCGCGCCTTCTTCCGCCCAAAGGTCCTGGCGTGCTCCACCACAGGGGGGTCTCCGCAGGCCACTGAGGGACAGACAGTCTTCAGAAAGGGCTCCTGTGATGCGCCAGGCCGGTGAGGAGCCGGTGTGGCTCCTCTGGCTGCCATGAGACAGCCCAGAGCCCAGGGAAGGGACATCGAGCCCGGACACCCAGCCGTGAGCCCTGGCTGCTGGCAAAGCAGCATTTTCATGCCAGGCTAAGAATCTGGAAACCACTGTTTGTGGCCCTGGGTTCCTCGATGACTCAGAGCAGAAGGAAGGGAATCAAAGGAAGGGCTTAAGGGGACGAGGAGAAGACAACCAGAGGGAGAAAGGTGGGGAAAGAGGGAGAGAGCCCGGCAGACCTGCCTTCTTTATGAAAACATCAGTGCAGGGAGAGCGAGACCTAACAGCGTGGGGCGAGGCCAGGGGCAGGACCAGGTGGGCGTGTGCCACCAGCACCTCCACGTCACAGACTTAACACCAGGATCAAGGCCTGACAACTCTGGCTGTGAGTGACGGGCTTGGGGACCCAAAGAGAGGGAGGCTCCCAACGCATGTGCCATCGCGGGTGACCTCCTGTGCCGATCTCCACGGGACTGTGAGCATGTGTGGAGCAGGGGTCTGTGCTCCAGCCTGTGGCCTTCACCCTCTGCCTGTCCCTGTCCACGGTCCCCAGGAGTGGACTTGCACCTGCCATCGGCCCTGGGATGCTGGCGTGAGGAGAGGGCCCCACGTCAGCTCCAATCTGCTTGTCGTGCAGGTGAAGTGACATCAGCGGCCAAGAGACAAGGGACTGGCCCAGGTCACAAAGTGGGAGCCGAAGTCTTGATTCTGTTCACGTGGGCCCTCCCAGGCCGCCACTCACCCGTGCCCTTTTTACACGTGAAGGGCAGCTGGTAATTGCAGGGCACGTCGTTCCACTCGCCCTTCTCGTGCCAGATCATCACCACGCAGTCCTCGCCGGCCGTGAAGAAGTTGTCGGGCTGGTTGGGGCGCCAGTTCTCAAATTGCTGTGAGTGGGCGTGGGGGAGAGGTGAGCAGAGGGCAGGGGTGGCACAGCCTGGCCTGACCCCCGCCTTCTCCCCCATCCATCAAGCCCTTCCGCGGGCTCCTTTCCCTTCTGGCAGTGGCGCAAAGACTGCTGGGAGCCTGGGCAGGGCTGTCCCATGGGCTCCCCAAAGAACTGGCCTCACCGCCCGGCTGTGTCCTTTCTCAGAAACTCAGGACCCCAGGCTTCACCGCCCCTGTTAAGGAGCGGCCACCACGCTCCTCTTCCATATGGGCCACAGGGGCTGCTCGCACAGGCTGCCTTGCTGGGGTGGGACTGGGTGGCATGCTCCAAGTCCAGACTGTGCCTTCCCCGCTTCTCCCTCCAGCCTGGCCCCGGGACAAGCAGAGTCCCTTTTCCTCTAATGTAACTGCTCCCCTCCCCCACGGCCCTGTTGGCAGTCAGCTCTTCCAGGGAGCCTGCCTTTGCTGACCTGCAGCATCTACTAAGTATCCTGTTCATCGGACATCTGTGTTGCTTTCTGTCTGTCTGTCTCCTTGAGGTGACTGGAGTTGTCTGTGGGCAAGGAACCCCTTGAGAGCTTCCATGGATCCCCCATGGTGGTTGGCCTGCATTCATTCATTGCCTTCCTCACCCCGCTTCCTGCATGCAATTATTCACTCAGCTCATCCAGGCTGGGCTGGTCTCCAAAGGCAGAGATGCACGAGACATGGTCCCTGCCCTCAGAGCTCCCGGTCCAGCAGCTGCTCAGGGAGCATTTGCATGCCGTCCGAATGTGTCTCCCTCTGGGGGTCCTCATCTCCCTCCTCTGGGCTGCCAACTCTCCCCAGTGCCCCTGCAGAACTCACCAAGGAGTGTCCATCTGACCAGCGGAAGTCCCCTTCGATGGTCCTGTCATTCAGGCCGATCCACTGGTAGTCTTGGGCATTGTCTGGAGAGAAGATGTGGGTTTGGGCATGGTGCTGGACACCCTGAGGGTGTCTGAGAAAGTTGAGCTCATAGAGGCAGAGGGGATGGAGGGGCGGCAGGAGGAGGTTGGGCTCCTGGGAGCATGGCACCTGCCTCTGAGGTCCTGACAAGAGTCTCAGCACAGGCGTGTTCGACCACTTTGGACCACCTCCCCGAGCTGGCACGGACTGGTGACAGCCACAAGGCTAGTCTGGGGCTGACTCTGACAGACAGTTGGCTGTCCTGGGTGCAGCCAGAGCCGTTGGCCCCAAAGACCTCTGTCCTCGTCTCTCGGGGCCCTTAGGCTGCAGAAACACCCTTCGCTGTCCCCGACCCGTGCAGCCCGCCCGGGCCCAAGTCTGCTGACTTCTGGCAAGTGAGGCCCTTCGCCCGCATGACCACTCTCCTCCCAGGTGCCAGAGGCCCCGCCACACTCACTGTTGACAAACTCCTGCTCCTCGGGAGTGACGATGCTGCTCAGGTGTGACTGCTGCTCCCGACACCTGCTCTCGGCGTCCACCCAGGTCTCGCGGTCGGGAAAGTAGCGGTAACAGTGGCCCTGGAACTTGGTCCAGCCATTCTCACACAGCTCCTGGTCTGCAACACAGGTCAGGGGCTTGAAGGGAGGGGCCCGAGGCCGACTGGGGATGGCGGTTGGCGCCAGTCTTATGGCACGAAGTCCTGTATTCACCCTGTCTTCAATGTCATGCCCTCAAGAGGCCCAAGTTGGAGGCCAGGAGGGCCTGGCCCTGGCCCCCTGGAGCCTCTGGGCATGTTCCCGCCCTCTGGAAAATGCCAGGACCCTTTCTCTCTATGATGTTGGCTCCCCCAAAGCTTTTCTCGTGTTGCTGCCTGCTCTGCAGGGCTGGCCGAGTTCATCAGGCCAGGAAAAGAGATGGGAAGGTGGGAGGTGTTGAGGTGTAAGGCAGGTTCAGAGGCTCCGAGGGGCTCCAGAGAGAGGGAGCTGCGGGGAAGCACGTGAAGGCAGCAGCAGTGGGCGGTGCGGGGGGCGGGGAACGGAACCTTGGGTGGCGACAGGGGAACAGAAGTAAGTCAGCTTTGGGTCCAAAGAGGACTCAGAGTGCTAAGTCTGTGGATCAGAGCTGGCTCCAGCAGGGCACGCGATTCTTGCCTCTTGAAGGGCGAGGCAGCCAACCCGGGGTCCACGACCCAGGGGCCCTGACGTTTTATTGGATTTCCTGGTGGCTGATGAGAAGAGGGGAGGAGCTTCTCTCCTCGCAAACCTATATAGGTAACGGGTCCCGAGTTCAGGAGGGTTCAAGAGGAGGGCCTCTTTTGGAGCTCCTGGAACAGCCCAGAGGGACCCACAGAGGCAGGGGCCTGCTGGGGCTGGCTCCTTCAGGCTTGGGAAGCCATTCAGGGTGTGTCTTCCCAGCTCCGCCTTCAGTGACACCACATTGGTAGCCTTAAGGTGGCCCTGGTGGGATTATTATATCTCAGAAATTGGCAGATGCTATAGCTCTGGGCTCCTCCCTCCTCTCTGAGAGCCGGTGGTTAAAATCTGCCAGCCCAGCAGTGGACGGAGCAAATTCCAAGACCCTCTCTTCCTTCTTCCACTGGGGCCTCCCAGGTGAAGGGCTGCCCCTAGAGCCCTGGGGCTGAGAGTGGGGCCGTGAACCCCTCAGGCTGTATGGCAGCCTCCTGATTGGGTGCCACTGACAGGCTGGCTGTCCCAGGAAGGAAGGACCAGTACCCGAGGGGAAGGAGGCTTAGGCTGGAGGGGTGCATGCTTGGCAGGCTTGGAAGAGAGAGGCTTGGAAGAGCAGGGAGAGAGGAGGGCTGGGGGCCAGCAGCCCGAGAAGAAAGAGGCACAGAGGCAGGAGGGCTAAGAAGATGCCGCTGGCCACCTGCTGCCAATGCCTCCCCCAGGGGGCGAGACAAAGGTCTGGAAGGAAGGCGGAGAGGCCTCAGAGGCAACTCAGCACCTGGCGAGGCCGGAGACATCATCTCAGGGCTGATGGGTGGGGCCAGTTCTTGGGCCGCCTCAGTGCCTGCGGGCTGAGCTGGGCAGGTAAGGCTGGAGGGCGCAGGTGCTCCGGGAGGCACCAGGGCCATGCAGGATGGAGGCGCTGGGGGAACAGCGACCCAACGGCAGGAAGGCTGGAGGAAGCAGCGGGGCCAGAGCCACACACAGCATGAAGGAGCCGAGGGCGGTGAGGGCTCAGGACTGGAACGGGAGAAGAGATGCAGCCTGGCGCATAGCCGGGCACCCCGGCGGGGGGCCAGCTGGGCGGCTCCAGTACCATCTCTGTGCTCCATCAGAGTGTAGCCCTGCCTCCCCTCCACCAGAGCACCTCCTTCCCAGTCTGACGCCCAAGATCTGTCGTCTGTGCGGACGTTCCAGACCCTTCTCCCTTGTGGCAAATATTTTGGCATCCTGGGGAGAAAATCCTTGTAGCTCTCCACTCCCACTCCAGCCAAGACCCCAGGCACTGATTTCTTGGGTTCTTGGGATGAAGGTGGAGGGTGAGAGGCTGCAACGTAGGAGGCGGGCCCAGGCCTTTTTTCCAGAAGCCTTAAGTTCCTCCACCAGTCTGCAACCTTGGCAGTGCCTTCAAGGAACATGCAATCTGGAACTACCTCACTACACTGCTTAGGACCAAAGGGAGCCTTCCCAGGGGTTTCAGCGGCTTTCTGGGTTTCTGGGATGTCCAACTTGAGAGTTCATTGAAAACAGTTTTGAGCCCCTGCACCCTTCCAGTTCTGTGTGGGCCGTTACTATTAGCAACTGCAAGCCCCATCCTCCCCTTTCTGAGGTGGGATGGCCCTGAGATCCAGGAGGATGGGGGGCGATGGGGAAGCCTCAAAAGTGAGAGCTGGGGGCTCCGTCTGGCCCTGGGAGGTTCCCGGCACACAGCTCCCCTTCACAGAGCCTGGCCGAGGGGCAGAAGCAGAGGGGTTGGCAAGGCCCAAGAGGGGACACTCAGACCCTCTCCCTTGCAATGAGGCTCTATTCTCTCTGGCCAGGCTTTGACCTTGCACAGGGGAGGAAGAAAGGAAGTGTGGGCCGGAATGGCATTGACATGGCAGTTGTCATGGTGGTGACATGCAGCAGTCCCTGCTCATGCATGACCTGAGCATGCTGGTGACATGGGAGTTCTCAGGCAGACCAGCCACAGCTCTTGCCAGAGAGGAAGAGGAAGGCAGCTTGGCCAGTGTGGCACGGTGGCTCTCAAGGCCATGGAAGGGCCACAAAGGTCCCATGGACAACACAGCAGGCAGACCACGACCATGCTGGGAAGGTCCGTGGCTGTCATCCGGAGCGAGAACCAGTGACTCCCACCCATCGCTGCCTTTAAGACAAATGCATGGCGTCAGCTCTGTCCTCTTAGTCTGATGCCTGTCCCCACCTCAGTGGTGGCATCTGCAGGTCTCGAAGCCCTGGAGGAGGTTAGCGTTTTAAAGGTCTCCCAGAGCCCCACCTTCCTAAGTGCTGGCTGGCCCTGCCTGCATGGCTCCCCTGCGGTCAGATCAGCCAGTGCCCTAGAGGAGGGTTTTCGCCGGGAACAGTGAGAGAAGGAGTGGAAGGGAGTGGGGCAGACTTCTCAGTGGTGGCCCCTGAAGTGACTGTCTGGATGGGCCTGGGGGCCCCCAGGGCCTAGCACCAGTGGTTAGGAAGGAAGGGTGAGGGAGGAGGAAGAAAGCAGCTGTTAGTAACATTAGCTGAAGCCGAGACGGCCGTACCGATCTCACACAGGTCCCCTCGGTAGCTGGGAAGGCATAAGCATGTGAAAGAGTCGATGGCGTCCACGCAGGTGGCTCCATTCAGACAAGGGCTTGAGAGGCACTCATCAATGTCTGCAAGAAACCAAGGGCCACCGTTAGGACTCCTGTCGGCCACTCCAGCTTCGCAAGCCCGGTGGCTTCTTTATGGGTGGCCAGCCCTGCTGCTCTCCAGGGCTCTGGGAGGAGAGGCTGGATTTCCTAAGGACTGTTGCTGCTGCTGCTGCTGCTGCCGCCATCTTGGAGCGCTGAGCCAAAGATCCAACAAGGATTTTCTTGGATGTGTGTGATCCTTGATTGGCAAACTTGGAGCCGTGGAGGCAGGCTTCCCAGTGGGGGAAGAGATCTGGTGATTTTGAAGGCAAAAGCCTGTGGTGAGAGTGAGCATGGAGTCCCTGTAAGATGCCTTCTCTTGTGACTATTTCAAGAGGCCTTGGGGTCTGAACTGGCTCTGAACCTGGTGGTGAGCAAGGACAAGGAGGGCAAGTTCTTGAAGCTTGGTGAGAGCTCTTTCTTTTCCTAGCTTCCTCTGTAGCTATGAAGCAAGGGAAGAGGGCAAGGCCATGCAGTACTAGAACCAAGAAGCTAGAAGTGGTCTGCAGAGTACAGGACCAGGAGAAAATGGCAGCAGGGGATATTGGCTTGAGACTCATGACATTTTTTGGGTTGCAGACACCTTCTCTGTCTTCAGCAAACAAGATTCCAGAGTATCTCATAAAGATAAAGCCAACTTCATTCTCTTAGGGAGGAGGGACAAATACTCAGCCCAACATTTCCCCATATAATCTCCTTTCAGCTTACGGCCCCAGAACGTGGACATCTCCAGCCAGTCGTGATTTCTAGAGGGCTCCATCCTGGCCAGTGGGAGACCAGTGTTTGAAGCCGGCGAGGCACTCAGGACATGGCCACCCACCAGCACCAGCCTGGGACACAGGCAGCTCCCTACCAGCCTCTTCTACCCAGGCAGGTTCTTCTCCTCTTCTGTTCTTGGGGGCCAACATGTTCTTTCTGATCCAACTTCTTCACGGGACTTGAATTGATTGGTCATTGGCCTTTGCCTCATATTTTCATCCAACAGCCAAGATGAGAACTGAATCTCCTAATCTGGCCCTTTCGCATCTTTCTGAGAAGCCAGAGACCTAGAGGCTCTCTTCTACTCTCTTCGTCTTTGTTCTCCAAAGGCTCCTGCTCGCTTTTTCTGGGTGGCTTCCCCTGGGATCATGACACAGGCACTGTGCAGCTCCTCTTCCCGGGAGGTCAATACAATTCTGCCATCAGTAGGTCCCACCGGCTCATGGGGCGTCATGATAGGTGGCTAAGCCTTGGTCTGGGCAGCTGTGTTCATACAACCTTCAGGACCTGATGCGTCTAAGCTGGTCTCCATGTGGGCGGCTTCCTAGAAGTCCCTGGACTTCGTTCTTGCCTCTCGTAAGAGCAGACTAGACCTTAAAGTCAATCTTCTGACAAGAAGGCAAGAGATCTTTCTTCAGGATTCTTTCCCTAGTGCTTAGCAGACATCTTCTAGACCAGAGTTGGGTTGGTGCCACAGGTGGCCTGAAACTCTCAAGTCCCCAGGTACTCTCTCTTCCCACCAAGTTCTTAACTTCATCTCGGGGCGTGCACACCATGGACGAGAAACCGACAGTTCCGGGGTTGGAACTGTTCCAAGCAAAACCAAAATGCATGGAGGAACTGACCGAAATCCCAGCATGCACCAGGATTCCCAGCAGCAGCAGGAGCAGCAAAAGGTCAGGCCGGTGGGCCAGGCAGAAGCAGGGGATGGCTCTCCTGCTTCAGGACAGCTGCTGTCCTCGTTTGTCCAATTAGCATCATTATGGGAGGTGGGAAGCACT